GAGTTTTGAAGCAAAGGTTGGATGGCCATCTGTCAGGAGGGCTTTGATGGTGCCTTCCTGCCTGGAAGAAGAGGATTGTACTGGATGGCCCTTGTGGTCCCTTCCAACTCTAGGATTCAGTCTTCTTAGATGATGATGATAATGATGGTGTTGATGATGATGGCGTCTCATTCTCTGGAGTTTTGGAGCAAAGGTTGGATGGCCATCTCTCAGGAGTGCTTTGATGGTGCCTTCCTGTCTGGAAGACGAGGATTGGACTGGATGGCCCTTGGGGTTCCTTTCAGCTCTAGGATTCAGTCTTCTTTGATGATGATGGTGGTGGTGATGGAGCAGAGGTTGGATGGCCATCTGTCGGGAAGGTTTTGATTATGTTCCTGGCAGAATGGGGTTGGACTAGATGGCCTTTGGGGTTCCCTTCTCTGACTTTTAATAGAGGGTTGCAGCCATTCTGACTCAAAGCATCAGAACTTCCCCTCTGTGCGTCCCAGACAGTCTAATAAATCGCCCCAAAGAAGTGCATTCCTCTTCTCCGAGTCTATTTTGGGCATTTAGGACAACCTCTTCTGCTATAGATAAACACCAGAGTACTCTTGAATACTATAAATACCTCAGAGGGCAAAGGGCAGCTAGTAAAGTTTGGTATGCGAAGGGCAGACTCTTCTTGAGGACTGGAGATAACTTTTCTCTTGTTTACAAAAAAATATCAGGAAAAAATTAATAAAATTCCTTGGGTTGGATATTTTCCATTCATTCCTTACAGTTTCTGATGGAGCCAAAAGGGAGTATCAGACAGCTTTTTGGCTTCATTTAAGTTTGGGAGTTACAACAAGGTGTCGGGAGGCCATTAAACATTATAATGGAAAGCTCTATGGATCATACATTTGGCCCCTGTGATTTGAAGTATTGGGAGGGGTGTGAGCTTCCTCTGTCAGCCCCAGCTTCTCCCAACCTAGCAGTTCGAAAACATGCAAATGTGAGTAGATCAATAGGTACTGCTCCGGCGGGAAGACCATGTTTTGCATTTTGGTTTTCCTGATATTCAGTGAGAGGTCGAACTTCTCCTATGCTTCTGCCTTGTAGTTTTTCTTCTGAATGCACATAGACTGTGCTATCATCGGGATGTTGGCGTTCTTATTGTGACCTTGGTTTTAGCTTTCAGTCTGCTGAGGTTAGGCACCCCTGGTGACGTGGTGGGTTAAACCGTTGAGCTGCTGAACTTGCTGACCGAAAGGGCAGCAATTTGAATCTGGGGAGCGGGGAGAGCTCCTGCTGTTAGCCCCAACTTTAGTCAACCTAGCAGTTCGAAAACATGCAAATGTGGGTAGAGCAATAGGTACCGCTTCTATGGGAAGGTGCAGTCATGCTGGCCACATGACCTTGGAGGTGTCTACGGACAACGCCAGCTCTTAGGCTTAGAAATGGAGATGAGCACCAACCCCCAGAGTTGGACATGACTGGACTTAATGTCAGGGGACAACCTTTACCTTTATCCATTTATATCTCTACTAGCCATTCTCTGCCACGCGTTGCTGTGGCCCACATGGGGGTTCTGTGTGGGAGGTTTGGCCCAATTCTATCGTTGGTGGGGTTCAGAATGCTCTGTGATTGTAGGTGAACTATAAATCCCAGCAACTACAACTCCCAAATATCAAGATTCTATTTTCCCCAAACTCCACCAGTGTTCACATTTGGGCATATTGAGTATCCGTGTAGAGTTTGGTCCAGATCCATCATTATTTGAGTCCACAGTGATCTCTGGACATAGGTGAACTACAACTCCAAAACCAAAGGACACCGCTCACCAAACCCTTCCAGTATTTTCTGTTGGTCATGGGAGAACTGTGTGCCAAGTTTGGTTCAATTCCATTGTTGATGGGGTTCAGAATGCTTTTTGATTTCAGGTGAACTATAAATCTCAAATGACAAAATCAATTTTTTGAGTGAAGGACATAGATTGGGTTGTTAGGTGTCTTGTGTCCTAATTTGGTGTCAGTTCATCCAGTGGTTTTTGAGTTCTGTTAATCCCACAAACGAACATTACATTTTTATTTACATGTATAGATTATGACATTTACATTATTTTACTCTATTATTATTTTTATTACATTTATTACTTTACTCTATTTATTATTGTTATTATTATGACATTTATTATTTTACTCTATTATTATTATTATTATTATTATTATTATTATTATGACATTTACATTATTTTACTCTATTTTTGTTTTTATTATATTGCTGTCCGAAAGGGCAGCAATTTGAATCTGGGGAGCGGGGAGAGCTCCTGCTGTTAGCCCCAACTTTGGCTAACCTAGCAGTTCGAATACATGCAAATGTGAGTAGAGCAAAAGGTACCGCTTCTTCGCTCCATACAGTCATGCTGGCCACATGACCTGGGAGGTGTCTACGGACAATGCTGGCTCTTTGGCTTAGAAATGGAGATTTTACTCTATGCGCATGCGTTGTAATGTATTTTGGGGTTTTTTTTTGTTTTTCAAGTCTCTTCTGCTGTATTTTTCAGTGTTTTTATGAGTGATGGTCACTCGTTGGCCTGATAGGGGTATAGTGTCCAAATTTGGTGTCAATTGGTCAAGTGGTTTTTGAGTTATGTTAATCCCACAAACGAACATTACATTTTTATTTATATAGATTATATATGAGTTAAACCACTGAGCTGCTAAACTTGTTGACCGAAAGGTTGCAGGTTTGAGTCCGGGGAGCGGCGTGAGCTCCCGCTGTCAGCCCCAGCTTCTTCCAATCTAGTTCGAAAACATATAAATGTGAGTAGATCAATAGGAACCGCTTCGGCGGGAAGGTAACGGTGCTCCATGCAGTCATACCGGCCACATGACCTTAGAGGTGTCTACGGACAACGCCGGCTCTTAGGCTTTGAAATGGAGATTTATATCTCTACTGCATGGCAGTGGAATGTGGTAGTTGCATTCCACTTCCTGATTGTTTCATTATATGGGGTACCTGCAAATCTTCCATGCAGTAATTCAGATGGGAACATATTGCACCTTGCTTTGGAAAACAGGCAGTTCTTTAGATCGTTTGCTGCGTGGAAAGGCCCAACATAATGTATGAACAGGGCACTAGGGGAGCAAGATACATAAGGGCAAGAGCGCAGCTCACAAAAAGCAATGTACCAATGCCCCACGGTCTGTGCTTGATTGACTTGATTTATGTCTCTAGATTTTCAGTACAGGCTCTTTTCTGCTGTGAATTCCAGATCTGCAGCCCCAAGCTTCCTTGTGGAGAGTCCCGAAAGACGCTGAACCATCAAGCTTTGGGACCACATCCGCAAGTTGGATCCCGGGGCCACAGTCTGATCCGACTCATTGTCCAGAGCCGCATATAAAGGTGAGTGTGCCACTTGGATTGTGGAACCCTTATCTATGGGTCAATGAATTGTATATGTAACCTGTCACCAAGGAGGCCGTCCAGACCTTGAACCGGTGCTTGGCTGCCGTGTCGGACTGGATGAGAGCTAACAAATAGAAACTGAATCCAGACAAGACAGAGGTCCTACTGGTCAGTCGTAAGGCCGAACAGGGCATAGGGTTACAGCCTGTGTTAGACGGGGTTACACTCCCCCTGAAGACGCAGGTTCGCAGCTTGGGAGTGATCCTGGACCCATCGCTGAGCCTGGAACCCCAGGTCTCGGCGGTGGCCGGGAGAGCTTTTGCACAATTAAAACTTGTGCGCCAGCTGCGCCCGTACCTTGGGAAGTCGGATCTGGCCACGGTGGTCCACGCTCTTGTTACATCCCGGATAGATTACTGCAACGCACTCTACGTGGGGTTGCCTTTGAAGACTGTTCGGAAACTTCCATCTAGTCCAGCGGGCGGCAGCCAGATTGCTCACCGGAGCATCATACAGGGAGCATACCACCCCCCTGTTATGTCAGCTCCACTGGCTGCCGATCCAGTTCCGAGCACAATTCAAAGTGCTGGTTTTGACCTACAAAACCCTATACGATTCCGGCCCAGCGTATCTGTCCGAACGCATCTCCCTTTACGTCCCATCTCGGAGTTTGAGATCCTCTGGGGAGGCCCTGCTCTCGACCCCGCCTCTGTCACAAGTGAGATTGGCGGGGACGAGGAGCAGGGCCTTCTCAGTGGTGGCCCCTCACCTATGGAATTCACTCCCCGGGGAGATCAGATCAGCAACATCCCTCCTTTCATTCAGAAAGAAATTAAAGACGTGGATGTGGGACCAGGCGTTTGGGCACTCTGGCAGATGAATAAGGGACTGTGACGATGGATAGGAGTTGGACAAGGTGGAACGAAATATGAACTCTGAGTTGGTGAACGCTGTGTCTGAGATTGGCTATTGATTGTGTGATATATTGTTGTTTTTAAGTGTTTTAATTGTTGACCATTTAATTGCTGGTTTTTATATGTTATTGTATTTGTGTAGGCACCAAGATGTGCCTTTTGTAAGCCGCCCTGAGTCCCCCCTCGGGGGTTGAGAAGGGTGGGGTAGAAGTACACGAAATAAATAAATAAATAAATAAATACGTAAGGTATTATTTATTTATTTATTTACTCCCAATTTGGCTCGGAGCGGTTTACAGCAGTAGATTAGAACAATACAAGTAACTTTAAAATACAATAAAAACACGAACAGACATGGTGAAGCTGGGAGACGCCTGCTCGGACCCCTGGCCTTTGACCTGTGGGGTCCCGCAAGGCTCCATTCTGTCTCCCATGCTTTTCAACATCTACATGAAACCGCTGGGAGAGGTCATCCGGAGTTTTGGAGTTGGGTGCGATCTCTCTGCAGATGACACACAACTCTACTACTCCTTTCCACCTAATTCCAAGGAAGCCCCTCGAGTGCTGGATGAGTGCTTGGCCGCTGTGGCTGTCTGGATGAGGAGGAACAAGCTGGTCGATCGTAAACCGGATCAGGTTATAGGGTGGCAACTTGTGCTGGACGGGGTTACACTCCCCCTGAAGTCACAGGTCCGCAGCTTGGGAGTCCTCTTGGATTCATCACTTACGCTTGAGGCTCAGGCGTCGGCGGTGTCCGGGAGGGCTTTTGCACAATTGAGACTCGTGCGCCAACTGCGACCAAACCTTGTGAAGGTGAATTTGGCCAGGGTGGTCCATGCCTTAGTCACCTCCAGATTGGACTACTGTAATGCGCTCTACGTGGGGCTGCCCTTGAAAACGGCTTGGAAATTTCAACTGGTCCAGCGGTCGGCGGCCAGGTTGTTGACTGGTGCTCCTTACAGAGAGAGGTCAACCCTCCTGTTTAAGGACCACCATTGGCTGCCGTTCATTTTCCGGTCCCAATTCAAGGTGCAGGTGCTTACCTACAAAGCCCTAAATGGTTTGGGACCCGCCTACCTGTGTATATGAACCCACACGATCCCTCCGTTCATCTGGAGAGGCCCTGCTTGCGATCCCACCTGCATCACAAGCGCGCTTGGTGGGGACGAGAGACAGGGCCTTCTCTGTAGTGGCCCTCCGATTCTGGAACACCCTCCCCAAGGACATCAGACAAGCCCCAACGCGAATCAAGGAACATGAAAGGCACTGCAGACTACTTCACCCAGAGAAGTCAGCCATAGCAGAGCACCTGATGAACCAACTTGGACACAGCATATTATTTGAGAACACAGAAATGCTGGACCACTCTCACAACCACCATGTCAGACTACACAGAGAAGCCATTGAAATCCACAAGCATGTGGACAATTTCAACAGAAAGGAGGAAACCATGAAAATGAACAAAATCTGGCTACAAGTATTAAAAAAAAACCTCTAAAATCACAACAGCAAAACAACAGAGGGGAAACAAACAGGCACATGAAATCACTCTCAACAAAAGATTCCCCCAGGCACTTCCAAACCATTAAATGCTAATCAAGGTGAGTTGTTTTAGGTTTTTCCGGGCTATATGGCCATGTTCTAGAGGCATTTTCTCCTGATGTTTCGCCTGCATCTATGGCAAGCATCCTCAGAGGTAGTGAGGTCTGTTGGAAATAGGAAAATGGGTTTATCTATCTGTGGAAAGGCCAGGGTGGACAAAGGACTCTTGTCTGCTGGAGCTAGGTGGAGCTAGGTGTGAATGTTTCAACTGACCACCTTGTTTTTTAAATACTGGTAGCCAGATTTTGTTCATTTTCATGGTTTCCTCCTTTCTGTTGAAATTGTCCACATGCTTGTGGATTTCAATGGCTTCTCTGTGTAGTCTGACATGGCCTCATTCAAATCTTGAAGCTTGAAACAAAGAAATGAAGCAACTTGGAAGATTAATTTAGCAACTGGTTTCTTTTTTCCTTTAAGAAAAAGCAGCTTGCGTCCCGCCGACGTGCCCGGATCCCAGCCCAGCGGTCTGCAGCATATGCCGTACTGGTTGCTCTCTACCAGGACAGGAGGGTAAGTTGTAGTTGGTACAAAGTGGGACACTATGCCCACCAAACCCTTATAATTTTCTGTTGGTCATGGGAGTTCTGTGTGCCATGTTTGGTTTAATTCCATCATTGGTGGAGTTCAGAATACTCTTTGATTGTTGGTGAACTATAAATCTCAGCAACTACAACTCCCAAATGATAAAATCAGGGTTTTTTTTGAATGATAGTCACTCCTTGGGTTAGTAGGTATCTTGTGGCCAAATTTGGTGGCAATTCGTCCAGAGGTTTTTGAGTTATGTTAATCCCACAAACAAACATTATATTTTTATTTATATAGATAACAACAACAACAACAACAATTATTATTATTATAGTGGTGTGGGGTTCAAAATGTTCTTTAATTGTAGATATTATTATTATTATTATTATTATTATTATTATTATTATTATTATCTACAATCAAAGACCTTTCTGAACCCCACCAATGATAGAATTGGGCCAAACTTCCCACCCAGAACCCCCATGACTAACAGAAAAAGTGGAGGGATTTGGGAATTAATTGACAGTGATTGACAGGGAACATGTAGTTCACCTACATCCGGAGAGCACTGTGAACCCAAACGATTATACCAAAGGGGTTCCCTAAGACCATCCGAAAGATACGTTTTCTGATGGTTTTTGTGTGACCCCTCTGAAACCCCCTCGCAACCCACACAGGGGTCGCGACCCCCAGGTTGAGAAACACTTATCTAGTCCAACCCCTTTCTGTCATGCAGGAAAAGCACAACCAAAGCCCTCCCAACAGATGGCCATCCAGCCTCTGATTTCCTTTGGTTGTGCCAGGAGCGACTTGAGAAACTGCAAGTCGCTTCTGGTGTGAGAGAATTGGCCGTCTGCAAGGACGTTGCCCAGGGGACGTCCAAATGTTTTGATGCTTTATCATCCTTGTGGGAGGCTTCTCTCATGTCCCCGCATGAGGAGCTGGAGCTGATAGAGGGAGCTCATCCACACTCTCCCCGAATTCGATCCTGCCACCCCAGGGGTTTAACCCACTGTGCCACCAGGGGCTCCTAGCCTCTGATTAAAAGCCTCCAATGAAGGTTTCCAATGGACTCTGAGGCAGAGAGTTCCACTTTTGAACAGCTCTATTTACAGTCAGAAAGTTCTTCTTAATGTTCAGGTGGAATCTCCTTTCCATTTGTTTTTCAATTCTGCCTGAAAAGTCAGAGCAAAAGAAAACGATATTGGAAGATAATACCAAGCCTAGCCTGCTTTTTCTATCCCTTTCCTAGAATCCGGAATCTCGGGGTTACTTGACAAAGCCGGAGTTACAAAGAGCAGCTCAGCCACTCTGTAATAAATCTTTCTGTCTGGTGAGTTGGTTCCAAACGCGGTATATATCTGGTTGTGAAATGCCACTCCAAATGATTTACGTTTGCTCTGTGTTCACTGGAATTGCTTCTTCTCTATTGCAGGCTGACCCAGGCGAGAAGAAGACAGCTTGGTCTGCTGTCGGCAATCTAATCCGCAAGGAGCTGGTCCTCAAGACCAATATCCCAGCTAGGTATGTATCCTATGCCAGTGTGTGTACTTACTTACTTACTTACTTAGGCGATCCCTCGTAGTCCGAGGATGATGGTCCTCCAAGTTCGGTGTTCTGGTGATGGGTCCGTAGGTGACTGTGGAGTCCTATTCTTGATCTGCATCTTCTCCCGCAGTTTCCAAGTGGAAGGTGGTCCCGGTCGGGGTTGGCTTGACGCACCTTCCTCTTGGCACGTTTCTCTCTTTCGCCCTCCATTTGTGCCTCTTCAAATTCCACAGCACTGCTGGTCACAGCTGACCTCCAACTGGAACACTCATGGACCAGGGCTTCCCAGTTCTCAGTGTCTATGCCAGAGTTTTTAAGGTTGGCTTTGAGCCCGTAATGAGTAACAGTAATGAGTCCTCTATCGAAATATCAGTTGCTCATAGTAATTATAATAAGCTTAAAGAGTAGGCGCATAAGTGCATTGTTTTAAATTGTCTTAAACTTGTATTGTTTTCACTTCTCAAATTGTTTAATGTGTTTTAGCCTGTGGGCATTGACCTTGAGTTCGGGATTTGTAGTTCATCTACATCCAGAGAGCACTGTGGACTCAAACAGTGATGAATCTGGACCAAACTTGGCTCGAATACTTAATATGCCCAAATGTGAACAGTGGTGGAGTTTGGGGAAAATAGACTTTGACATTTGGGAGGTGTAGTCACCGGGATTTATAGTTCACCTACAATCAAAGAGCATTCTGAACTCCCTCAATGATGGAATTGAACCAAACGTGGCACACAGAACTCCCATGACCAACAGAAAATACTGGAAGAGTTTGGTGGTGAACTACAACTTCCTTGAGTTTTGGAGTTGTAGTTGATCTACATCCAGAGAGCACTGTGGACTCAAACAATGATGAATCTGGACCAAACTTGGTTCGAATACTCAATAGGCCCAAATGTGAACAGTGGTGGAGTTTGGGGAAAATAGACTTTGACATTTTGGAGGTGTAGTCACCGGGATTTATAGTTCACCTACAATCAAAGAGCATTCTGAACTCCCCCAATGATGGGATTGAACCAAACTTGGCACACAGTTCTCCCATGACCAACAGAAAATACTGGAAGGGTTTGGAGGGCATTGATCTGGAGTTTGGGAGTTGTAGTTCACCTACATCCAGAGAGCACTGTGGACTCAAACTATGATGAATCTGGACCAAACTTGGCTCGAATTCTCAATATGCCCAAATGTGAACAGTGGTGGAGTTTGGGGAAAATAGACTTTGACATTTGGGAGGTGTAGTCGCTGGGATTTATAGTTCACCTACTATCAAAGAGCATTTTGAACCCTGTCAACGATAGAATTGGGCCAAACTTCCCACACAGAGACCCCCAGGACCAACAGAAAAAGCTGTGTTTTCTGATGGTCATGGGCGACTCCTCTGAAACCCCCTCACCCCCCCCCCCAGTGGTCCCGACCCCCAAGTTGAGAAACATTGCTATAGAGACTTGTATCATTACACATGTGCAGTTTCAGCATCCTGATACAGAAGTGATATAGAAGTCGGTGAGGGGAAATTTTTAATGAACGTCCCTCGTATATATGTTGGGTTTTCCAGACTGAGTTCCGTTGTTTCCCTTCTAATCTGATTCCCATACTAATCTCAATCCAATGTTACAAATTTTAATGTTTTTTTTTTTTTAAAAAAATGCTCTGTTCCACCAGATATTCTCTGACAGAGGCCGGTTTGTCCTTGGCCCAAGAGTTGGTCGCCTTGGAAGAACCAAAGGGCGATACCTCGAAAGCACAATCAACCGCATCCACTGGAAACAGAGAATTATTTCCTTTTTTGGAGGGCGAAGGTGAAGACTGTTTACGCTCAGACCAGTCGGAGAAGGAGGATCTCCCAAGGTAAACAAGACAGCCCATTTTTTCAATATCCCATATTTCAGGGCTCCTCAAAACATTGCCAAGTTTGCAAAGCGCATCTCTGAAGGATCTCGTTCTCCCTATTCTCCCTTTTGCAGGTCAAGCTGCAACGAACCAGAAAGAGAGCTGTTTAAGCCCCAGTTCACCCTTCAGCCCGGCCAGTTTGAAGTTGTCCTCTGCGTGGATGTCATTGAGACCACCGGGTGAGTGACCCCAAAATGATATCAATGGGGTCATCCAGTCCAACAATTTTCCTGCTTCCTGGCAAAATAGGGTTGGACTGGATGACTCCATTTATATCATTTTGAAGGAAGGCACAATCAGATCATTCCCAGCAGATGGCCACTCATACTCTGCTTATAAATATTCAGAGAAGGAAATATCATCATGATCACAGAATCCTAGAGTTGGAAGAGATCTTGTGAACCATCTATTTTGCCAAAAAGCAGGAAAATTGTTTTCAAAGCACCCCCAGCAGATGGCCATCCAACCTCTGCTTAAAAACCTCCAAAGAAGGAGCCTCCACCACACTCCGGGGCAGAGAGTTCCACTGCTGAACGGCTCTCACAGTCAGGAAGTTCTTCCTCATGTTCAGATGGAATCTCCTTTCTTGTAGTTTGAAGCCATTGTTCCATTGCGTCCTAGTCTCCAGGGCAGCAGAAAAGAAGCTTGCTCCCTCCTCCCTGTGACTTCCCCTCACATATGTATACATGGCCCTCATCATGTCTCCTCTCAGCCTCTTCGCCTTCTCCTCCTCCTGCTTCTTCTTGAATTCTACAGTTGGAATGGAATCCCAAAGGCTATCTAATCCAACCCCATCCCACCAAGCAGGAAGACACATTCAAAGCTGACAGATAGCCATCGAGCCTCTGCTTATAAGTCTCCATCATCATCATCATCTCCTTCTCCTCCTCCTTCTCTTCCTCCTGCTCCACGTTCTCCTCCTCCTCCTCCTCTTACGTCTCCTCCTCCTTCTCCTACTCCAACTTTTCCTCCTCCTCCTTCACTTCCTCCTTCTCCTCCTCCTCCTTCTCCCTCCCTCTCCTCCTCCTCCTCCTCCTCCTCCTTCTCCTCCACCTTCTTCTCCTCCTCCTTCTCCTCCTCTGTCTCCACCTTCTCCTCCTCCTTCTCCTCCTTCTTCTCCACCTTCTTCTCCTCCATCTCCACCTTCTCCTCCTCCTCCTTCTCCTCTGTCTCCACCTTCTTCTCCTCCACCTTCTCCTCCTTCTCCTCCACCTTCTCCTCCTCCTTCTCCTCCTCCTCCTCCACCACCTTCTCCTCCTCCACCACCACCTTCTCTTCCTTCTCCTCCTTCTCCTCCTTCTTCTCCACCTTCTTCTCCTCCATCTCCACCTTCTCCTCCTCCTCCTTCTCCTCTGTCTCTACCTTCTTCTCCTCCACCTTCTCCTCTTTCTCCTCCTTCTCCTCCACCTTCTTCTCCTCCTCCTTCTCCACCTCCTCCTTCTCCTTCTCCTCCACCTTCTCCTCCTCCTCCTCATTCTCCTCCTTCTCCTCCTCCCCTTCTTCTCCTCCTCTTCTTCTCCTTCTCCTCCTCCTCCACCACCTTCTCCTTCTTTTCCTTCTCCTCCTCCTTCTCCTCCTCCTTCTTCTCCTCCGCCTTCTCTTCCTCTTCCTCCTTCTCCCCCCCCCTTCTCCTTGTCCTTCTTCTGCCAGGTTGGAAGACACCATCAGAGCCCTCCTGCCAGATAGCCATGCAATATCTTCTTAAAAACCTCCAGAGGATATTTAGTGTAGTTCTCTTGCCATCTGAATAGTGGTGAGGCTAGTTTTATACCAACTTAGCACAGTATCTTGTACAAATCTTACGATGTGTTGAGACGCAGGACTCTTCCCTTAGGATGACCACCTGCTGCATCGATTGTTTTCCATTAGCCTCTAAATCCTTTTCCCTTCAGGGGTCCTGCATCCCGGAAACAGGAGCTGATGGACGAACTCCGACGTCGCAATGTCCCCTTCAGCGTCCGGAAGCTTCACGTTGGCGACTTCCTCTGGGTTGCCAGAGAGCGGGTCTCTCCAGCCGCAGGTGGGAGCAGTGACATGTTTGCGAAGTGGGATTCAGGGAAAGCAGGGGCTTGTCTGTGAGAGTGGGCACCCCAGCCACATACGAGGGTTGAATGAAAAGTAATGCCTCCACCTTCCTAACTCCTCAACAGATGGCAGTACTGGTATGCAGCAGGTATTGGCTTGTTCAGTAGACTCTCCTCTACAGTTCCATTTGGGCGGGAAGCCTTAACATTGAATGGTTGTGTTGTTAAAGTGTGAAGTATGGAACCCTGCGCAGATGGTCGGTCAATGCGACTTAAGCAACGTGCAGTCGTTGAATTCTTGACAGCATAAGGTGTCATTCCAAAGAAGATTCATCAGAGAATGCAAGCTGTTTATGGTGATTGTGTTGATGTGAGTACTGTGCGTCGTTGGGCAAGAAAGTTTAAAGATGTTGAAGTGGGAACATCTGACTTGCGTAACAAACAAAGAGTTGGACGTCCTGTGACAGCAACCACCGAGTTTCACAAACACAAGGTTGATTCAGGACGATCGTCATATCATTCAGAGAGAAATTTCAAGCATAATCGGCATTTCACAAGAACGTGTGGGTCTCATTATTGCTTTGCTTGGCTATCAGAAGATCTGTGCACGATGGGTGCCCAGGACGCTGACGCCGGAAATGAAAGCGCACAGACTTGAAACTTCATAGACTGGATCTCACCACCGTATGGCATCCTCCATACAGTCCAGATTTAGCACCGTCTGACTTCCATCTGTTCCCGATAACAAATCAAGATCTACGGGGACATCATGATGCTTCTGATTAAGACGTTGAGAAAACTGTGAGACGGTGGTTGCGTAAACAGAGTGCCGACTTCTTCCATGACGGCTTCAGAAAACTTGTTTGTTTATTTATTTATTTATTTACATTTATATGCTGCCCTTCTCACCCCGAAGGGGACTCAGAGCGGCTTACAAGGTATATATACATACAATATATTATTAGCATAGTACAATATCAGTTTTAAATATTGCTATATTGTACTATATCAATTATACTGTAATATTACAGGTAATATAAATATATAATTATAATATATTATTATTATTATTAGTATTATATTGCATTACATTATAATATTATAAATATTATATGTATATACAATATATTATATGGGTTGTTGTAGTTTTTTTCGGGCTATATGTCCATGTTCTAGAGGCATTCTCTCCTGACGTTTCACCTGCATCTATGGCAATGATGGGCAACCTTTTGAGCTTGGTGTGTCAAAATTTGCCAAAAACCTGAGCATACCTTGGGTGGAGTGTCACTTTGAGGAAAAAAAACAACATAATTTTGCAATATTTATAGTTTAAATAAGAAAAATATGTAATCCATACTGAGTTATGGAGTGAACAATGCTCAAACGTACAGATGTTAAATTTGTAGAGCCTTTTACAAATTTAAGGATGGAATTAGATTGGCTCTTATAAGGTGTATTTTTCTGTATGTGGCCGCATGTGTCTGCGTGTCATCAAAAATAGCCATGCGTGTCAGTACTGACACGCGTGTCATAGGTTCACCATCACGGATCTATGGCAAGCATCCTCAGAGATAGTGAGGTCTGTTGGAACTAGGAAATGGGTTTATATATCTGTAGAATGACCAGGGTGGGACAAAGAACTCTTTTCTGCTGGAGCTAGGTGTGAATGTTTCCTTTTTTTAATTACTTCAATATATATATATATATATATATTATTAAAACTGTTTATTTTGATTATTGTACATAACAGAAAAGCAAATCATGGCAGATGTAATCAGGTACCAATATTTTTGACGTGTACATGCCTATCTACCTTATTCAGTCAATCAGTTAATTTTGACATTAAGTACAAATTGTTATCATTTACATATCTTAATACACATAGACTTGCTATTTCTGCCTGTTTTCCACTACTTTCAGTCAAAGTTTCTATTAATTTTTCCCCCCATAACATTCAGGAAATCGGGTGTAAATGTTTCAACTGACCACCTTGATTAGCATTTGATGGCCTGGCAGTGCCTGGGGCAATCTTTTGTTGAGAGGTGATTACAGGTGATATATAATATATTCTAATAATATTCTATTATTAGAATAGCACAGGAGATGAGGTGGAACTGTCGCCTGCCCCCCCCCTTTCACTCCAGCCCAGAGTGACAGTTGGTGCTGGAGGGGAGGGATCCCCAACTGATGGCACATGTAGGAGACAAGATGGTGCTGTCCCCTGCCTGGGGGGGCTCTCTTCGCTCTGGCCCAGAGTGACAGTTAGTGCTGCAGGGAGGGGTTCATCGTTGGTAGAAATGTACCCAATTGTCTGGTGATTATGTGGAAAAGTGAATAGTGGTAGTTAAAGAGCACATTCTAAGGATTATTTCTGCGTTTGATTTATTAAAATATTCCCATCCAAACCCAAGTAACGAAGGTGGAGGCGTTACTTTTCATTCAACCCTCGTACACACATTCACATTTTCACTTACGTGTATAAATAGATTCCAATATAGAAAGCATGATTTCAGTGGCTTCTTCCCTTTCCTTCTCTCGCTAATACTCTCTGGGTCACCTCCAACCACCTACAGCTCAAGAATTGGTCCTCGATTACGTCGTGGAGCGCAAGAAGATGCCGGACTTGTGCAGCAGCATCATCGATGGCCGATTTCGCGAGCAGAAGGTACGCTGATCTTTCCAGCAGAGTCATGGAAAGACGTATTTTGGATTGACAATGTGTCAGAATCTACTTTTTTGGATCTAATATGTAGTGGTCCTCTCAATAGCCGTAATATACTGTATATACTAGAGTATAAGCCTAGTTTTTCAGTCCTTTTTTTAGGCTGAAAAAGTCTCCCTCGGCTTATACTCGAGTCAAGGTTATTTATTATTTTACTCTTTTAATATTATTATTATTATTACATTAATCATTTTACTCTATTATTATTACATTTATTATTTTATTTTTTATTATTATTACATTTATTATTTTACTCTATCATTATTACATTTATTATTTTATACTTTTTATTGTTATTACATTTATTATTTTACTCTATTCTTCTTATTATTATTACATTTATTATTTTACTCTATTCTTATTATTATTACATGTATTATTTTACTCTGTTATTATTATTACATTAATCATTTTACTCTATTATTARTACATTTATTCATTTATTCTTTATTACTACATTTATTATTTTACTCTATTATTATTATTATTATTATTATTACATTAATCATTTTACTCTATTATTATTACATTTATTATTTTTTTATTCTATTATTATTACATTTATTATTTTATACTTTATTGTTAATACATTTATTATTTTACTCTATTATTATTATTATTACATTAATCATTTTATTTTACTGTGTTATTATTACATTTATTTTATTCTTTATTGTTATTATTACATTTATTATTTTATTCTTTATTGTTATTATTACTTTACTCTATTATTACTATTATTATTATTACAGTAATCATTTTACTCTATTATTATTATTACATTTATTATTTTATTCTTTATTGTTACATTTATTATATTACTCTAGTATCAATATTATTATTACAGTAATCATTTTATTCTTTTATTATTATTACATTTATTATTGTATTCTTTATTATTACATTTATTATTTTACTCTATTATTATTGGAAGGATACATAATCACATTTACACTGAATCAGAGGACAGTCTTACCTTATTTATTCAAAAACACTCCTAACCTATCGATGCCTCAATTAAGTCAATTTTATTGGGATCTATTTTAATTTTGGAATATACCAGTGGCTGCTGCATTTCCCACCCTCGGCTTATACTCGAGTCAATCTGTTTTCCCAGTTTTTGGTTGTAAAATGAGGTGCCTCGGCTTATATTCGGGTCAGCTTATACTCGAGTATATACGGTATTCCCCTATGGAGAAGCATCTGTAACGCTCAGGATCACTCTGTTGGAGTTCAGCCTGTGATTGTGTTTCAGGATCAGGATGCTTTGGATGTGGGAAGTGATGCCAATGAATTTCAAAATGTCAATAGTTTGGTCAATGATACTGATGCAGAGAATGACCAGGAGACCCCTGTGCAAAGTGTAGTTTCCCATGAGAATGTCCCTGAAGGGTGTGGGGATGATGGTGTACTCCCTGAATTGTTACCAGAGAGTTCCCAGGATTTGGGGCTTGAAAAGAACTGGGCATCTGGCCCAGCTGCAAGACTTAATGAGCAAACAGATAGGCGAGAGAAAATTAGTCAAAATAGACAGCCCGAACAGTGCCTTCGGCGGTCTGCCAGGCTCCAGCAGAAAAAGATAAGGGGATCTCAAGAAAAATGAAACCAATTCCTGAGTGCATGGAATAGCTTAGAATCATAGAGTTGGAAGAGACCTCATGGGCCATCCAGTCCAACCCCATTCTGCCAAGAAGCAGGAATATTGCATTCAAAGCACCCCTGACAGATGGCCATCCAGTCTCTGTTTAAAAGCTTCCAAAGAAAGAGCCTCCACCACACTCCGGGGCAGAGAGTTCCACTGCTGAACGGCTCTCACAATCAGGAAGTTCTTCCTCATGATCAGATGGAATCTCCTCTCTTGTAGTTTGAAGCCATTGTTCCGCGTCCTAGTCTCCAAGGAAGCAGAAAACAAGCTTGCTCCCTCCTCCCTGTGGCTTCCTCTCACATATTTATACATGGCTATCATATCTTCTGTCAGCCTTCTCTTCTTCAGGCTAAACATGCCCAGCTCTTTAAGCCGCTCCTCATAGGGCTTGTTCTCCAGACCCTTGATCATTTGAGTCGCCTCCATTAACGAACTTATATAGCTTAACGAGGCAATACAAGTTCCAAGTATGGGAAATATAGTCAGATGAAGCGTCGTTGGAATCAAGTGTAGTTCTCGTCCTTTGTTTCATTGAAGATTCTTGTCTAAGTATTTCTTGTTCATGGTTTGGAATCTATGAATGCCTACTCATACCTTGGATTAATGTTCCCTGTTTTCCTGAATTATATTAGAGAAGTGTGGACTTTGTTTTTATGGACTTTGCTAAACTTTACTCTGGACTATTTTTGCTCCTGCTTATTTAATTGGATTTACCTGCTTACTTAATTGGATTTACCTATTTCTTTAAAGTGCTTTTTACTTGCTTTACTTGCTCCTGCTTACTTAATTGGATTTACCTATTTCTTTAAAGTGCTTTTTTACTTGGTAGTTTTTAATTATCTTCAATAAAAGGATTGTTTTTCAATCAGCGGTGTGGTGTTTACCGTCAGAGGGCTTTTCCTGTCCTGGAGTGCAACACAGATTTAGGACATGCTTTCTCTCCCCGTTGTTTAGTTCCGCTTGCGGCAATGCGGCCTCTCTCATCCCATCTATTTGGTGGAAGATGCCGGCTCCGTGGAGCACCTCAGTTTGCCTGAGAAGACCCTGCAGCAGGCGGTGATCAACACCCAGGTAGGGATGCGCAAGAAAAGTCACTCACCGGTTCAGGCTGCTCTTCTCTCCTTCTGAGGCTAGTTGAAATATTATTATTATTATTAATTAATAAATAATAATAATAATAATAATATGGAGGGAAAGGCCTCTTTCCATCCACTGGGATCAAGGCGTGATGGAGGAGTTCCTGGCTGCTCTTCTCTCCTTCTGAGACTAAAACAATGGCAGTTGTAATATAGACTCAGAAGGGAGCCCCAGAGGCCATCCAGACTTAACCCCATTCCATTATGCAGGAAGACACCACCAAAGCCCTCCCAACAGATGGTCATCCAGTCTCATAGACTCAAAAGAGACCCCCAAGAGCCATCCAGTCCACCCCCCTTCTTCCATAAAGGAAGACACAATCAAAGCCCTCCTGACAGATGGTCACCCAGTCTCATAGACTCAAAACAGACCCCCAAGGGCCATCCAGTCCATCTCCCTTCTTCCATAAAAGGAGACACCTTCAAAACCCTCCCAACAGATGGCCATCCAGTCTCATAGACTTGAAAGAGACCCCCAAGGGCCATCCAGTCCACCCCCTTCTTCCATAAAGGGAGACACCTTCAAAACCCTCCCAACAGATGGTCACCCAGTCTCATAGACTCGAAAGAGATCCCCAAGGGCCATCCAGTTCATCCCCCTTCTGCCATAAAGGAAGACACCATCAAAGCCCTTCCGATAGATGGCCACCCAGTCTTATAGACTCGAAAGAGACCCCCAAGGGCCATCCAGTCCATCCCCCTTCTTCCACAAAGGGAGACACTATCAAAGCCCTCCCAATAGATGACCACCCAGTCTCATAGACCCAAAAGAGATCCCCAAGGGCCATCCAGTCCATCTCCCTTCTTCCATAAAGGGAGACACCATCAAAGCCCTCCCAACTGATGGCCACCCAGTCTTATAGACTCGAAAGAGACCCCCCAAGGGCCATCCAATCCATCCCCCTTCTTCCATAAAGGGAGACACCATCAAAGCCCTCCCGATAGATGGCTATCCAGTCTCATAGACTCGAAAGAGATCCCCAAGGGCCATCCAGTCCATCCCCCTTCTTCCATAAAGGGAGACACCATCAAAGCCCTCCCAACAGATGGCCATCCAGTCTCATAGACTCGAAAGAGATCCCCAAGGGCCATCCAGTCCATCTCCCTTCTTCCATAAAGGGAGACACCTTCAAAACTCTCCCGACAGATGGTCTCCCAGTTTCATATGTGAGGCAAAGGGGAAATTTTTGTGGCGGGTGGTGGGAAGCAGCCAAGTCTCCCTCTCTTTCTGACGGTGACCCTCTTCTCCAGGTGGTGGACGGCTTCTTTGTCAAACGCACCCGTGACATCCGCGAATCCGCGGCCTACCTGACCGTCATGACCCGTTACCTGGCCAGGTTGTATGGGGTGAGTTTGGAGCTCTGCGGGGACCCTCTCCCATGGAGAGCACAGGGATGGGCAGCTTTGGATGGAAAGAAACCATATCATTCCTCTTCGGAGGACCATGTCCATTCCCACAGGAGAAAAGAAATAAACCAATCTGTTTTGTCTGCTCCAAAATGTCCTCTTGGACTCTGCTTCTTAAACTGTGGGTCCCGATGCCAAATGGGGTCCCCTTTCCCTCAGTGTTGGGATAATTGGAGAAAAGGGTTTCTGAGTACCACCTATTTCTACAAATCTGTGACCAATAGCCTGCAGTGTTTACAGTGGGCTCTGCAGAATAATAATAATAATAATAATAATAATAATAATAATAATCCTTTATTTATACCCCGCTACCATCTCCCGGAGGACTCGTTGTGGCATACAAGAGGCCGAGCCCAAATACATCAGTAAAAACAACAACAACAACAATACAACAAAATGAACTCAAAACAAAGCAATAATACATTAACAACACACCACGACACATTAAAATTTATGGCAGGGCCAAATGTAATAATTAAAATCAAAAATATGCTGGGCATGACCAGGTGAAAAGGGTAGGTATTACTAGAGATATCCTGGATCTCTAGTAAAGTGCATTTGGGGACATATTGTGAACGGCGGAGAACGGCGAGCATCTTGGCCCTGCTCTGTGTGTCGGCCTAGACCGATGGACGAAGCGGCGGACTCAGTTTGATCGGCTGGCCGCGTGGGCGTGGTGTTGCTCGCAGCCGCTGGGCTGCTGGAGCTGGCGAGCCGCTAGGCCTTTCGCCCGCCGCCGTCCATCTACAGCCCAGCGTGGTCCAGGCGGAGCTTCTGTCCGGCTCGGCGAAGGCCGAGTTTCCAGCGTTCAGCGTTCCAGCATTTCCGCGACCCCGGTGAGCACGGTTGAGCACGGCTGCTTTTGCACTGTCGCTGGGGAGCGGTTTTGGCTCCGCCGCGTTCTGGGGGCCTGCTGGGGGCCTGCTGTTGCCGCCTCCGCGTTCCATCTGAGCAGAGGCTTGGGAGTGCCCTAGCTGCCCCCGTTGCATTCCATCCCAGCGCCCCAGCCGCGGCCAGGGTGAATTCGGCGGGGTTCCCGTGCACCCATTGCCATTGGAATAGGCCTGGGCTGGGGGGCTGTTTTCTCGAGGGGACTTGTGTCGTCCTGAGTCCGGCCGTGTTGTAGCTCCTCCGCAACCTTAGGAGGCGCTGCCTTCGCGCCCTGATTTTTCGAGGACCTTCCTCTGCAGTCCATCTTCGGCGAAGGCCCCAGAATTTTTTTTTTTTATTGCATCATAGTTGCTGTTGAACTACCATCGGCTGTCGCCTGAATTGCCATCTGTTACTACCATCTTCATCCGCCTCTATTCCGGAAGAAACTGAATTAAACATCATACTATCAACTTAATATCAGACTTGGAGCCATAATGGCCACTCTCACCTAACATTCCTTGTTGGTGTTACAACAGCCGTCCTTGGGGGGTTTATACCCATACCCCTCGGCCCTTCAGCCCAAGTCTGTTGTACTGGGGGGGGGGGGGATCAAATATAAGAACTGGACTTAACAACTGCTGAGGATTGCACTGCCGCTACTTTATCATCATAGGAATTAGAGCCGTCTCACCCAATGCTGCTAACTTTCCATCCAATTGCACTTATCTGTTGAGTTTAGTGAGCACTCTGCACTTTAGAAATTGTGCACTTTAAGAACTAGTGCACTTTAACCCTCTTTGATACTACAGCACCTTAATCCTCCGAGCAATTATTAATTCTGGGAAGCAAAAAAAAAACAAAAAAACTTTATTATCTGCACTTTACCATCGCTTTTTGTGAACACCCATGTCGACCCTCATTTTGTGGTATTTGCTAATAACATTGCTAGCAAACAGGGAAGGGGAAAAAGGGTGGAGTGGGTGGGAAGACCTCAGAAATAGCAATGCAAGGTTAGGAAACAACTGGAAGGAATTAGGATGGCAGAAAGAGAAATTAACGAAGGAAATAATTCAGAGGGTTCCATGGGATGAAGTTGCAAGTCTGAGGTGCAATATGGATGATGAGGAGCATTCCACTGGCCGAGGGGCCCCCATAGAAACCATAACGGGGAGGGGGAGATGCGGGAAGGGGAGACCATCAATTCGGCCATCAATTCGGCTCCAAAGAAATAGAAAATCATCAACCCAAATTCGGCTTAGGAAAAAAAAAAGAAACCAGAAAAATTTAATAATGTGTAATCGGTCTCCTGACAGGTTAAGTGGGTGTACCCAGGCTGGCGGTCCCTCCGGGTTGAAGATGGTGCTGTTGAACGCCAGATCTGTTAACGGCAAAACATCTTTTATCCAGGACTTAATCCTGGAAGAACGGGCAGATCTGGCGTGCATTACGGAGACCTGGCTGGACGAAGCTGGAGGAGTTAATTTAACCCAGCTTTGCCCACCAGGCTTCTCCGTACAGCACCAATCGAGACCTGGAGGGCGGGGAGGAGGGGTGGCAGTAGTCTATAAAAATTCTATCTCGCTGACCAGAAGCCCCATCCCACAGTCAACTAATTTTGAATGTGTCTACCTGAGGGTGGGTGACCGGGACAGAATAGGGATTCTGCTAGTGTACCGCCCACCTCGCTGCACTACAGTCTCCCTACCTGAGCTAGCAGGGGTAGTCTCGAGCCTGTCACTGGAGTCCCAACGGCTCCTTGTGCTGGGGGACTTCAATGTACACGCCGAGACTGCCCTAGTGGGAGCAGCTCAGGACTTCATGTCTTCCATGGCAACCATGGGGCTGTCCCAACGAGTAACTGGCCCCACCCACAGTGCTGGACACACATTGGATTTGGTTTTCTGTCAGGGATGGGAGCAAGGTGGCGGGGTTGAGGAGCTATCCATCTCTCCGTTGCCATGGACCGACCACCATCTGGTCAGCTTTAGACTTACTGCACCTCCTAACCTCTGCAGAGGTGGGGGACCCATTAAGTTGGTCCGCCCCAGGAGGCTTATGGATCCGAATGGATTCCTGATGGCTCTTGGGGAGTTTCCCGCTGCCTCGGTTGGTGATCCTGTTGATGCCCTGGTGACTCTCTGGAACGGGGAGATGGCCAGGGCAATAAACACGATTGCTCCAGAACGTCCCCTCTCAAGTAGCCGAGCTAAACCAGCCCTTTGGTTCACCGAGGAGCTGGCAGCAATGAAGCGAAGGAAGAGGAGACTAGAGCGTGTGTGGCGTTCGGACCCGAGCGAGTCAAATCGAACACGGTATGTTGCTCTTCTGAGGGCATATGCCGTGGCAATAAAGGCGGCAAAGAAATCTTTCTTTGCGGCCAATATTGCGTCCGCAAAGAACCGTCCGGCGGAGCTGTTTCGAGTTGTCAGAGGCCTATTAAAACCCACCATCTCGGATGGGAGCCCTGGCAACTCGACGGCCCGCTGTGAAGCATTTGCTCGGTTCTTTGCGGACAAAGTCGCTTTGATCCGTTCAGGCCTGGACACCATGTTAACGGCGGTCTCTGAGGATGTGACGAGAACACCTGTCTGTCCGATTTTGTTGGATTCGTTTCAATTTGTGAAACCTGAGGATGTGGACAAGGTGCTGGGAGGGATGAGGGCAACCACATGCATCCTAGACCCCTGCCCATCCTGGCTTCTAAAGGAGGCCAGAGGGGGATTGGCCGAGTGGGTAAAGGTGGTGGTTAATGCCTCCCTTCGGGAAGGCAAAATTCCAGCCAGCTTAAAACAAGCTGTAATAAAACCGCTGTTGAAAAAACCATCACTGGACCCCACTCAATTCGTCAACTATCGGCCTGTTTCCAATCTCCCCTTTTTGGGCAAAGTCCTGGAACGTGTGGTGGCCTCACAACTCCAAGCATTCTTGGTAGACACTGATTATCTGGATCCGGCGCAGTCTGGCTTCAGGCCGGGACATGGTACCGAGACAGCCTTGGTCGCCTTAGTGGATGATCTCCGGCGTGAGCTTGACAGGGGGAGTGTGTCCCTGTTGGTTCTGCTGGACCTCTCAGCGGCCTTCGATACCGTCGACCACGGTATCCTTCTGGGGCGCCTCGTGGGAATGGGCTTGGGGGGCACTGTTTTACAGTGGCTCAGGTCCTTCCTAGAGGATCGTACCCAGAAGGTGTTGTTGGGGGACAACTGCTCGTCCTCACAACCATTGACTTGTGGGGTCCCGCAGGGTTCCATCTTGTCCCCCATGTTGTTTAACATCTACATGAAGCCGTTGGGAGAGATCATCCGGAGTTTCGGGGTGCGGTGTTATCTGTACGCAGATGACGTCCAACTCTGTCACTCCTTTCCACCTACTACTAAGGAGGCTGTCCAGGTCCTGAACCGGTGCTTGGCCGCTGTGTCGGACTGGATGAGGGTGAACAAATTGAAACTCAATCCAGACAAGACAGAGGTACTCCTGGTCAGTCGGAAGGCCGAACAGGGTATAGGGTTACAGCCTGTGCTGGACGGGGTCGCACTCCCCCTGAAGACGCAGGTTCGCAGCTTGGGTGTGACTCTGGATTCTTCGCTAAGCTTGGAACCCCAAGTTTCAGCGGTTTCCAGAGGAGCATTTGCACAGCTTCGGCTCGTGCGCCAGCTGCGCCCGTATCTTGGGAAGTCGGACTTGGCCACGGTAGTCCACGCTCTTGTCACATCCCGCATAGATTACTGCAACGCGCTCTACGTGGGGTTGCCCTTGAAGACTGCCCGGAAGCTCCAGATGGTCCAGCGCTCGGCAGCCAGGTTGCTAACGGGAGCGGCACTCAGGGAGCACACTACTCCTCTGTTGAGCCAGCTCCACTGGCTGCCAATTTGCTACCGGGCACAATTCAAGGTGCTGGCTTTAGCCTATAAAGCCCTACACGGTTCCGGCCCCACTTACCTCTCCGAACGCATCTCCACCTATGAACCGGTTAGGACGTTAAGATCGTCCGGGGAGGCCCTGCTCTCGGTCCCGCCAGCATCACAAGTGCGGTTGGCGGGGACGAGAGACAGGGCCTTCTCGGTGGTGGCCCCTCGGCTATGGAATGCCCTACCAGCTGACATCAGGCAGGCCCCTTCGTTACTGGCGTTCCGGAGGAGGGTGAAGACATGGCTCTTTGAACAGGCGTTCGGTTAATCATGCAATCATAACTAACTCAGGAAGACGGCATACTGAACAAGGAATGGTAGAATGACTGTGAGAACGGGATCTGATTCTATTTGAGGCGTTGATGACTATATGTGTGTTGTCTGTGATTGTTTGTTTATATATTGTCAGTGTTTTATATTTTACTGTAAACCGCATTGAGTCGCCGTAAGGCTGATAAATGCGGTATACAAAAGGAGTAAATAAATAAATAATAAATAAATAAATAAATATTGCTTGGAGTTTCCTTATTCTGGGAAGGCACACTGGAACCACCACGTTTTCAAGCTCCTCCTAAAAATTGCCAGAGTTGGGGCATGCCTGATGTCCTTAGGGAGAGAGTTCCAGAGTCGAGGGGCCACCACCGAGAAGGCCCTGTCCCATGTCCCCACCAATTGCGCTTGCGATGCAGGTGGGATCGCGAGCAAGGCCTCTCCAGATGATCGAAGAGATCGTGTGGGTTCGTAAACAGAGATGCGGTCACGCAGGTAGCCAGGTCCTGAACCGTTTAGGGCTTTGTAGGTAAGAACTTGCACCTTGAATTGGGACCGGAAAATGAACGGCAGCCAACGGAGCTCCTTAAACAGGAGGGTTGACCTCTCTCTGTAAGGAGCGTCAATTAACAACCTGGCTGCCGCCCGTTGGACCAATTGAAATTTCTGGGCCGTTTTCAAGGGCGGCCCCACGTGGAGTGCATTACAGTAGTCCAATCTGGAGGTGACTAAGGCGTGGACAACCCTGGCCAGATCCGTCTTCACGAGGTACGGTTGCAGTTGGCGCATGAGTCTTAGTTGTGCAAAGGCCCCCCCGGCCACCGCTGACGCCTGAGCTTCAAGCGTCAGTGGTGAGTCCAGGAGGACTCCCAGACTGCGGACCTCTGACTTCAGGGGGATGTTTCACAAATCTTGCAAATGCTGATTTATTAGTAAATGTTTGATTTTTATACCTAGTCTATATACCGCATATATTCGAGTATAAACAGTTTTTCAGCCCTTTCTTAAGGCTGAAAAAACCCCACTTGGCTTATACTTGAGTCAAAGTTATTTATTATTTTACTCTATTTATTATTAATATTATTACATTTATTATTTTACTTTATTATTATTATTATTATTATTATTATTATTACATTTATGCTGTTTATGCTATTATTGTTATCATTACTTTTATCATTATACTCTATTTACTGTTATTATTGCATTTATTATTTTACTCCATTATTACACTTATTATTTTACTCTGGTATCGTTATTGTATTTTATTTATTTATTTACGGCACTTGTAGCCCGCCTTATGGAGACTCAAAGTGGCTCACAGTTTATTGTTTTACTCTATTTATTATTATTACATTTATTATTTTATTTTATTATTAGGTTCTTGTGGGTTTTTTCGGGCTATAGAGCCATGTTCTAGAGGCATTTCTCCTGACGTTTCGCCTGCATCTATGGCAAGCATCCTCAGAGGTTGTGAGGTCTGCCTGACCAACAGCACATCTGTTGGTCAGGCAGACCTCACAACCTCTGAGGATGCCTGCCAGAGATGCAGGCGAAACGTCAGGAGAAATGCCTCTAGTCTAGAACATGGCTCTATAGCCCGAAAAAACCCACAAGAACTTATTTTATTATTGTTATTGTTACATTTGTTATGTTACTCTGTTATTATTACATTTATTATTTTACTCTATTATTATTATTACTTATTATTTCACTCTATTATTGCACTTATTTTACTCTATTATTACTATTGCATGTATTATTTTACTATATTGTTATCATATTTATTATCTTACTCTATTATTATTACATTTATTATTTTACCCTATTATTATTATTTTATTATTTTACTCTATTATTACTATTGCATGTATTATTTTACTCTATTGTCATATTTATAAATCCTACTCTATTATTATTATTTTATTTTACTCTATTATTACACTTATTTTACTCTATTATTACACTTATTTTACTCTATTATTATTATTTTATTATTTTACTCTATTATTACACTTATTTTACTCTATTATTATTATTGCATGTATTATTTTACTCTATTGTTATTACATTTATTATTTTACTCTATTATTGTTATTACTTTTATTATTTTACTCTATTATTACACTTATTTTACTCTATTATTATTATTATTGCATGTATTATTTTACTCTATTGTCATTATATTTATAAATCCTACTCTATTATTATTATTTTATTTTACTCTATTATTACACTTATTTTACTCTATTATTATTATTGCATGTATTATTTTACTCTATTGTTATTATATTTATTATTTTACTCTATTATTATTATTATTTTATTTTACTCTATTATTGTTATCACATTTACATTATTTTACTTCATTATTATTATCATTATTTCTATTATTTTACTCTCTTATAATTATTATTATAAAGAAAATAATCCGCCTTGGAGGATTTTAAACTAAGGCTGGCCATCTCTTGGGGGTGCTTTGATTGTGCTTTTCCTGCATGGCAGGGAATTAGACTAGATGGCCCACGTGGTCTCTTCCAACTCTTATGATCCCCCTTTTCCCGTCTTCCCCCTTTCCACGTTGCAGATGGGGATTATGGAGCAAGTAGCCCAAAACTCCTGGAGGTTGCCAGGTTTGCCCAAGGCTGCTTTAAGTGACTTTATCGGTGCTTTCCTTTCTGTTTTTGTTCCCTGCCTGCAGGCCCGGACTCTCCTGAGCTGCACCAAGGAAGAACTGGACCGGGCACATCCTCCGCAGCTGAACGGCGGCTCTTGCCGTCTCCTGACCTTCACCGAATTCAACGAAAGCGCCGTGAAGAACAAGGTGTGGAAGCCATGCCTCTTGAACCAGTGTCGGGGCGCATATACAGACAGCCCCCAAGTTACAAACAAGATAGTTTCTGTAAAGTTGAATTTGTACATAAGCCAGAACAGGGCCAATCATAGAATCCTAGGGTTGGAAGAGACCTCATGGGCCATCCAGTCCAACCGCATTCTCCCAAGAAGCAGGAAAATTGCATTCAAAGCACCCCTGACAGATGGCCATCCAGCCTCTGTTTAAAAGCTTCCAAAGAAGGAGCCTCCACCACACTCCGGGGCAGAGAGTTCCACTGCTGAACGGCTCTCACAGTCAGGAAGTTCTTCCTCATGTTCAGATGGAATGCCTCTCTTGTAGTTTGAAGCCATTGTTCCGCGTCCTAGTCTCCAAGGAAGCAGAAAACAAGCTTGCTCCCTCCTCCCTGTGGCTTCCTCTCACATATTTATACATGGCTATCATATCTCCTCTCAGCCTTCTCTTCTTCAGGCTAAACATGCCCAGCTCCTTAAGCTGCTCCTCATAGAGCTTGTTCTCCAGACCTTTGATCATTTGAGTCGCCCTCCTCTGGACACATTCCAGCTTGTCAATATCTCTCTTGAATTGTGGTGCCCAGAATTGGACACAATATTCCAGGTGTGGTCTAACCAAAGCAGAATAGAGCATGGGGAGCATGACTTCCCTGGATCTAGACACTATAGAGGCCAAAATACCATTGGCTTTTTTTGCTGCCACATCACATTGTTGGCTCATGTTTAACTTGTTGTCCACGAGGACTCCAAGATCTTTTTCACATGTACTGCTCTCGAGCCAGGCATTGTCCCCATTCTGTATCTTTGCACTTTGTTTTTCCTGCCAAAGTGGAGCATTTGTCACTGTTGAACTTCATTTTGTTAGTTTTGGCCCATCTTTCTAATCTGTCAAGATGGTAATCTTGTCAGCACCAATTGTGTTTAAGTGCAGGCCAAGGTCTTTAGGCACTGCACCCAGTGTGCCAATGACCACTGGGACCACCTTGACTGCTTTGTGCCAGAGTCTTTGCAGTTCAACCTTTAAATCCTCATATCATGTCAGCTTTTCCAGTTGTTTCTCTCCAATCCTGTTGTCATCTGGGATTGCGACATCGACGATCCATACTTTGTGTTTTAACACAATCATGAGGTCAGGAGTGTTGTGCTCCAAAACTTTGTCTGTCTGAATCCGGAAGTCCCAGAAGAGTTTGACGTGTTCATTCTCTGTAACTTTTTCCGGCTTGTGATCCCACCAGTTCTTTGTCGCAGGCAGATGGTGTATGTGACACAAGTTCCAATGAACCATCTGAGCAATGGTGTTGTCCCTCTGCTTGTAGTCTGTCTGCACGATCTTCTTGCAGCAGATCAGGATGTCATCTATTGTTTCATCTACTTCCTTGCAGAGAATACACTTGGGATCTGTTGTCGACTTTTCAATTCTGGCTTTGATGGCATTTGTTCTAATGGCTTGTTCTTGGGCTGCCATCATCATCATCATCATCATCATCATCATCATTATTATTATTATTATTATTGGCAAGGTGATAGAGCGGGCTGTACTGGGACAATTGCAAATATTCCTGGATGACACACCCTTTCCAGTCAGGTTTTAGCCCTGGCCATGGGATGGAGTCAGTCCTGGTTGCCATTACAGATGAACTTCGTTGCCAGTCTGACAACGGTGGATCGTAGTCAACGGTGCATTTGACACCGTTGACTACGATGTAATGATTCACCGTCTCGCCATGTCCGGAGTTCGCGATCAGGCCCTTAATTGGTTCAACCCATTTCTCCTAAACCGGAGTCAGCGCGTGGAGTGCATGGATCAAGTCTCCGATAGATCCCCCCTCCTATGTGGGGTCCCCCAAGGTGCAATTCTCTCTCCTCTTCTCTTCAACATCTACGTTAGACCCCTTGCTAGTTTGGCTCGGAGTTTCGGCCTGGACTGCTACCAATATGCGGACGATACCCAACTCCTTCTGCGCCTGGAGCCTGGAGCAACGTCAATTCCAGACAATTTCACCCGATGTCTGGAAGCTCTGTCGAACTGGCTACGTGCTAGCAGACTGAAGGTGAACCCGGCAAAGACTGAGATTCTCTGGCATGGCCGCCCGGCAGGTCTGACCCATTTACTACCCACTTTCGATGGTGTCGCCCTATCTCCATCGACCAATGTTAAGAGCTTCGGTGTCGTCCTGGAATCGCAGCTGACAATGGAAGCTCAGGTCGCTGCTGCCAGCAAACAGGCCTTTTTCCATCTATGACAAGCGAGGCAATTGGCACCCTACCTATCTGACGAGGCTGTGGCAAATGTCATCCATGCCACGGTCACATCTAGGCTGCACTATTGTAACGCCCTCTATGTGGGCCTTCCGATGTCTACGACCCGAACGCTTCGTATTGTTCAGAATGCGGCAGCCAGGTTACTCACAGGAACGCCCATGAAATGCCATAGAACACCAGTGCTGCAACATTTACATTGGCTTCCAACTGAGTACCGTGGCCTGTCTAAGATGCTAGTTCTGACCTTTAAAACTCTTTATGGCCAGGGTCCATCGTACCTTAGGGACCGCCTCTCTTTCTCCCATCATCGGAGGTCACAACGACCAGCCCAATGCAACTTACTCCATATACCGGGTCCTAGAGAAGTGCACTTGGAAAGGACCAGGCGCAGATGAGCTTTCTCTATTTCTGCCCCTGCCTTGTGGCATTCCTTGCCGCCCTACATGAGAGCCATGCGTGACTTAGGGCCTTTTACTCTAGCACTTAAGACCTGGCTTTTTACTAGAGCTTTTGATCTGTATTAATTTTATCAATATCTGTATGTATGTATTTTTATCTTTTACAATTTAGCTTGTAAATAGCCTAGAGTATCTCGGATGGAGGGCGATTAATAAGTAATTAAATGCTGCTGCTGATGATGATTATTATTCCTTGACCTCTGCTCTTTCTCCAGGCCCAGACGGTGAGAGAGGTCTTTGCCCGGCAACTCATGCAGATCAGCGGCATCAGCGGAGAAAAGGCAGCAGCCATATTGGAACGATACCCGACGCCTGCCAGGTGAGGTACAGCAGGAGCAGAATGGAGTATGACTATATATGTGTGTTTGCATATATAGACGGACAGACAAATAGATATATCTATATAAATAAAAATGTAATGTTCGTTTGTGCTACCATCAGAACTCAAAAACCACTGGGGGAATTGACACAAGACACTTAACAACCCAATGTATGTCCTCTCAAAAAAATTGATTTTGTCATTTGGGAATTGTCGTTGCTGGGATTTATAGTTTACCTACAATCAAAGAGCATTCTGAACTCCACCAGTGGTGGAATTGGGCCAAACTTAGCACACAGGGCTCCCATGACCAACAGAAAAAACTGGAAGGGTTGGGGGGCATTGACCTTGAGTTTGGGAGTTGTAGTTCACCTACATCCAGAGAGCACTGTGGACTCAAACATTGATGGATCTGGACCAAATTTGACACAAAAATTCCATATGCCTAAATATGAACATAGATGGAGTTTGGAGGAAATAGACCTTGACATTTGGGATTTGTAGTTACTGGGATTTATAGTTCACTACCATTAAAGAGCATTCTGAAACCCACAAACGACAGAAATGGGACAAACTTCCCACACAGAGCCCCCATGACCAACAGAAAATACTTTAGGCCATCCAGTCCAACTCTCTTCACCAGGGCAAGAAAATGTAATCAAAGCCCTCCTGACAAAGAGCCATCCAGCCATACATATAGATAGATAGATATGATTCTCTCTCACACACACAGATATAGTATCATAGATTTGAAAGAGACCCTTCAAGAAGGACTACGATATGTTGCATATTCCAGAGTAGGCAAACCAGACACTCTCCACATCAACACTGACAAAGAAACAACAAGAAATACTGTTTACTCACAATCAGAAAGGAATTACATATATTAGAAACCAACACTTTCTCATTACTTAATTTTCCAGATCACCAGATTGGGCCACAGAAACGCGTGGCAGGGGACAGCTAGTATATAAATAAAAATGTAATGTTTGTTTGTGGGATTAACATAATTCAAAAACCACTGGACGAATTGACACCAAATTTGGACACAATACACCTATCAGGCCAATGAGTGTCCATCACCCCTAGAAATACACACATAAAAACCATCAGAACGGACTTAAAAACCCCCAAAATAAACTATATATGCATATACACATACACTCATATACATATACACAAGCACACATAGGAAACCTGCTACATACATACAGACACACACATATATATCTATATCTATCTATATATGTAAACACACACATACACACATATACACAGATATATATACAAATATATAGATGGGTGTATATGTGTGTGCAGTCGGTTCAGCACCTGTTGGAGCTCAGCCTGTGATGACAATGAGTTTCAAGAAGGTAATGGTCTGGTCCATGATATTGATGCAGAGAATGACCAAGAGATCCCTGTTCAAAGTGTAGTTTCTCATGAGAATGTCCCTGAAGGGTGGGGGGATGGTGGTGTGCTCCCTGAATCGCAACCAGATAATCCCCATGATTTGGAGCTTGAGAACAGCTCGGCACCTGGCCCAGCTGCAGAAATGAATGAGCAAATGGATAGAAAGGAGGTGATTAGTCAAAACAGAAAAGCAGAGCAGTGGCTCAGGCGTTCTGCCAGGCTCAGAGAAAGAAAGATAAGAGAGTCAAAGCTAAAGCAAAACCAATTTCTGAGCACTTAGGGCAGTGGTTCTCAACCTTCCTAATGCCGCGACCCCTTCGTACAGGTCCTCATGTTGTGGTGACCCCCAACCATAATGTTATTTTCGTTACTACTTCACAACTGTAATTTTGCTACTGTTATGATTCGTAATCTAAATATCTTATATGCAGGATGTATTTTCAGTCACTGCAACAAATTTGGCACAAATACCCAATATGCCCAAATTTGAATACTGGTGAGGTTGAGGGTGATTGATTTTGTCATTTGGTAATGCTGGAGTTGCTGGGATTTATAGTTCACCTAAAATCAAAGAGCCTTCTGAACTCCACCAATGATGGAATTGAATCAAACTTGGCACACAGAATTCCCATGAACAAGAGAAAATACTGGGAAGGTCTGGTGGACATTGACCTTGAGTTTTTGGAGTTGTAGTTCACCTACATCCAGAGAACATTGTGGACTCGAGCAATGATGGATTTGGATCAAACTTGGCACAAATACTCAATATGCCCAAATGTGAACACTGGTAGAGTTTGGAGAAAATAGACCTTGCCATTTGGGAGTTGTAGTTGTTGGGATTTATAGTTCACCCACAATGAAATAGCATTCTGAACCCCACCGATAGAATTGGACCAAACTTTCCACACAGAATCCCCATGATCAACAGAAAATACTATGTTTTCTGATGGTCTTTGGCGACCCCTCTAACACCCCCTCGCGACCCCCACAGGGGTCCTGACCCCCAGGTTGAGAAACACTGACTTAGGGCATAGCTTAATGGGGATATAAAAGTCCCAAGTACAGGATCTGTAGTCAGATGTAGCATCGTTTGGAATCAAATCTTGGGAAAGATTCATGTTTAAGGGCAGAGGTCCACAAACTTTTTAAACCGGGGGCCAGTTCACTGCCCCTCAGACCGTTGGAGGGCCGGACTATAGTTTTTTTAAAAAAAATCAATACAATAATTCCTATGGACATTGCACATATCTTATTTTGCTGTGTGGAAGGGCCCTTAGAGGGGGTTCTTTCTAGCCCTCTTGAGGCAGTAATTCCAGGAGCAGAGAATGGGAAATCTTCCTATTTCTAGTCTGAACAAAATCTGGCTACCATTAAAAAGAACTCTAAAATTATAACTGTAAATAAAGAACAAGACTCAAACACAGGGGAACTCCAGACAAGAAACAATCAGGGCCAGCTCATCACCTCTCCCTAAAAACTGTCAGGCTATGAAATGGTAATCAAGGTGGCCAATTGAAATATTCATACCTTCCTCCAACAGACAAGAGTTCTTTCTCCCACCCTGGATCTTCCACAATTTTCCTAGTTAAAGGTTTTCCCCTGACATGAAGTCCAGTCGTGTCTGACTCTGGGGTGTGGTGCTCATCTGCATTTCTAAGTCGAAGAGCCAGCGTTGTCCGTAGACACCTCCAAGGTCATGTGGCCGGCATGACTGCATGGAGCGCTGGGGCAGCCTCCCTTGGCTGGCTCACGCTACCCATTGGGCCTGACGGATAGCGTGAGCCTGTCAAGGGAGGAGCAGCCCTGCGCTGCCTACTCGCGCGTAAAGCACCTCCGAGGTGCTTTACGCGCGAGTAGGCCACGCGGAGCAGCTGCCCTTGGCTGGCTCACGCTGCCCATCGGGCCTGACATAGCGTGAGCCAGCCAAGGGTGGGGCACTGTGTGGGGGGGGCTCCTCCTCCGTGGGCCGGATAAGTGCCCTTGGCGGGCCGGAAGTGGCCCGCGGGCCGTAGTTTGAGGACCCCTGTTTAAGGGTTTTGATTCATCGCTCTGGAATGGTTCTCATTCTTCGTCAGGCACGGCAGAATGGATCTTGAAGCAGAGAGAGAAGGACGTTGATTACTAGGCATGTGCAATCCATGGTTCTAAATGGTTCTAAAGTACTTACAAAACTAAAGTTCTGGTGGTGAAAATTAGGAGGCGCTGGTACTTTGCTTCTACAGTGTTGCTAATGTTCTGGTGGTGAAAATATCAGAACTCAAAAACTTTCAAAATTTCATTATAAATGGCAGTTCCTAATTGGTTCTGTTGTAAAAATCATCAATAATGAAATAATAATAAAATTTTGAAAGTTTTGTTCAAGTTCTGAAATTTTCACCACCAGAACTTTAGCAACACTGTAGAAGCAAAGCACCAGCGCCCCCTTGTGTTCACCACCAGAATTTTAATTTTGTAAGTGCTTTAGAACCATTTAGAAGCATGGATTGCACATGCCTACTGATTATTATTATTATTATTATTATTATTATTATTATTATTATTATTATTTGAAACACAACAAGATGAGTCCACAGCAGACACTCGGCTGGCTGTTGAATTGGATCACATGTCGGACACTTCCCAAGTGTCTAGGACTGTGTGATGTATCGGCGAATAATGCGTGCAGATATCCCAGTAAGGTGGCCTTCTGCAACTGGCAAATGGTAATTTTGTCAGCACCGATTGTGTTTAAGTGCAGGCCAAGGTCTTTAGGCACTGCACCCAGTGTGCCAATCACCACAGGCTGATTGCACATTATGATTTGTCCGTTTGGCATCCCTATGCCTTCACTGTGTGTAATTTTCTCTTCCTTTAATGCCACTATGGCACCTTTGTCTAGGCCGAACTCCATACTGATGTCAGTGTTGACAATTCTGACTGTGTTGGTCAGTGACTCGATTTCAGTTTCTGATTTTCCCTAAAGCTTTAGATCATCCATGTACATGTATAATATCACAAAGGACTACCACCTCACGCGCCTCATAGGAAACCTGCTACAAAACAGGAGCTTTTTTGTTGAGTTCCAGGGCCAGAGAAGCAGATGGCGGAAAGAGAAGAATGGCCTGCCTCAGGGGAGTGTGCTTGCTTCATTCATGTTCAACATCTACACAAATGACCAGCCAATGGCAGAAGGGACTGACAGTTTCATCTATGCTGATGATCGTGCCATCACCACCCAAGCAGGAAGCTTTGAGATGGTTGAACAGAAGCTCTCTAAAGCTCTAGGTGCTCTTACTGCCTATTACAGGGAAAGCCAACTGATCCCTAATCCATCTAAAACACAGACATGTGCCTTTCACCTTAAGAACAGACAAACATCCCGAGCTCTGAGGATGACCTGGGAAGGAACCCCACTGGAGCATTGCAGCGCACCCAAATACCTGGGAGTCACTCTGGACCGTGCTCTGACCTACAAGAAGCACTGCCTGAACATCAACCAAAAAGTGGGCGCTAGAAACAATATCATACGAAAGCTGACTGGCACAACCTGGAGATCACAACCAGACACAGTGAAGACATCTGCCCTTGCGCTTGGCTACTCTGCTGCTGAGTATGCATGCCCAGTGTGGAAGACATCTCACCACGCTAAAACAGTGGATGTGGCTCTTAATGAGACATACCGCATTATCACGCCCTACACCACTGGAGAAACTACACTGTTTAGCTGTTATTGCACCACATGACATCCACCAGGAAGTAGCAGCCAATAGTGAAAGGACCAAGGCAGTGACATCTCCAGCCCACCCACTGTTTGGGTATCAGCCAGCACGTCAACAACTTAAATCAAGAAATAGTTTTCTAAGATCTACAGAGACACTCGCTGGAACACCCCAGCAAGCGAGAGTCCAAAAGTGGCAGGCTCAAACTCAGAACCTCAATCGATGGCTGATACCAAATGAGAGACTCCCCCCTGGGCACACAGAAGACTGGGCGACTTGGAAAGCGCTGAACAGACGGTGTTATTATTCCACACTGGGCATGCATATTCAGCAGCAGTCAAGTCAAGTGTCCCCTATCCGAGATCTGATATTTCGCTCGCTATTTCTCCCAACGAAGCATCAAAACAGTCAGCACACACATCAATGGAGGGATAGTCTGACCTAGTATCACATGCTGGGCAATTTGAATGGGCTTCTGTTCATAATCCATCCCTGCCTTTCTCTCTTTGCTCAGCCTTCGGGATGCTTTTGCCGCTTGCTCCTCGCTTCTGGCCCAAGAACAGCTGCTGAGCGGCACCAAATGCGGCAAACTGCAGCGGTGAGTACTTTCCAACACCTTAAACAGAACACCAGCAGAGAGGGAAGTCCATAGATAGATAACTGTTGGCTTTTTGCTCTGGAAAATGAGGCAAAAGAGAACCATAGGATCTTCGAGGTGGAAGGGGCCATCCAGTCCAACCCTTGTTCTGCCAGGCAGGAGGACACCATCAAAGACCTCCTGACAAATGGCCACCCAGCCTCTGAATCATACTCCTAGAGTGGAAGGGACCCACAGGGACCATCCAGTCTGCCAGATAGGAGGATACAATCAAAGCCCTCTCGACAGATGGCCACCCAGCATCTGAATCCGACTCCTGGAGTTGGAAGGGACCCACAGGGACCATCCAGTCTGCCAGATAGGAGGATACAATCAAAGCCCTCCCAACGGATGGCCACCCAGCATCTGAATCCGACTCCTAGAGTTGGAAGGGACCCACAGGAACCATCCAGTCTGACAGGCAGGAGGATACAATCAAAGCCCTCCCAACAGATGGCCACCCAGCATCTGAATCATACTTCGAGAGTTGGAAGGGACCCACAGGGACCATCCAGTCTGCCAGATAGAAGGATACAATCAAAGCCCTCCGAACAGATGGCCATCTACCCCCTGCTTAGAAAACTCTAGAGAGGAGACTCTATCACCATCCATTATTATTATTATTATTATTATTATTATTATTATTATTATTATTAGGAAGGTAACTCCAAGGGTCATCCAGCCCAACCCCCTTCTGCCAGGCATGAAGACACAATCAAAGCCCTTCCAACAGATGGCCATCCAATCTATGCTTAAAAACCTCTAGAGAAGGATTATTATTATACATTATTATTATTATTATTATTATTATTATTATTATTATTATTATTTGAAACATAATAAGATGAGTCCACAGCAGACTCATGTCACATGGATCATATGTCGGACACTTCCCAAGTGTCTAGGACTCTGTCATGTATCAGCGAATAATGTGTGCAGATCCAAGTAAGGTTGTTATTATTATTATTATTATTATTATTATTATTATTATTATTATTAGTTGGAAGAGACTATCTAGTCCAATCCCCTTTTGCCAGGCATGACGACACCTTCAAAGTCCTCCCGATAAATGGTCATCCTGCCCTCTGCTTAGAAGCCTCCCAATAAGGAGACTCCATTCTCCTCATTATCATTCAGATCAAAGAGATTATTATTATTATTATTATTATTATTATTATTATTATTATTACTATTACTATTACTATTATTACTACAGTCATTATTTTTATTGTACAAGATGATGATAGTTATGATGATGGAGCCCTAGAGTTGGAAGGGACCCTAAAGGCCATCCAGTCCAACTCTTATTCTGCCAGGCAGGAGGCAACCATCAAAGCCCTCCTGACAGATGGCCACCCAGCCTCTGAACCAGACTCCTAGAGTTGGAAGAGACCCCCAGGGGCCATCCAGTCCAATCCCAATTCTGCAAGAGAGGAGGACACCATCAAAGCCCTCCTGACAGATGGCCACCTAGCCTCTGAATCAGAGTCCTAGAATTGGAAGAGGCCCCCAGGAGCCATCCAGTCCAATCCCAATTCTGCCAGAGAGGAGGAAACCATCAAAGCCCTCCTGACAGATGGCCACCCAGCCTCTGAATCAGACTCCTAGAGTTGGAAGAGACCCCCAGGGGCCATCCAGTCCAACTCCAATTCTGCTAGGCAGGAGGACACCATCAAAGCCCTCCTGACAGATGGCCACCCAGCCTCTGAACCAGACTCCTAGAGTTGGAAGAGACCCCCAGGGGCCCTCCAGTCCAATCCCAATTCTGCCAGGCAGGAGGACACCATCAAAGCCCTCCCGACAGATGGCCACCCAGCATCTGAATCAGACTCCTAGAATTGGAAGAAACCCCCAGGGGCCATCCAGTCCAATCCCAATTCTGCCAGAGAGGAGGAAACCATCAAAGCCCTCCTGACAGATGGCCACCCAGCCTCTGAACCAGACTCCTAGAGTTGGAAGAGACCCCCAGGGACCATCCAGTCCAATCCCAATTCTGCCAGAGAGGAGGACACCATCAAAGCCCTCCTGACAGATGGCCACCCAGCCTCTGAATCAGCCAGGCAGAAACACAATCAAAGCCCTCCCGGCAGATAGACATCAGCCTCTGCATTGAAAGCCTCCAGAGAAGGCCTGTTCCACTGTTGAACAGCTCTGACCCTCAGGAAGTTCGTCCTAATGTTTAGGCGGAATCATTTTTCCTGCCATTTTCCTTTTTCTCTCCTCCGTCCACTATATCATTTTTTCTCTACTTCTTTCTCTCTTCTCCAGAAACCTGGGCCCCGTCCTGAGCAAGTCTTTGGCCCAATTGTATTGCACGCCAGGACCATTGCCGTGAGCCTGCGTTCGAGAGAGAGAGAGCGTCCAAAAAGAGAGGGAATGAATGTGGATGCAAGAAAAGCAGAGAGTGATGGAGAGATGGCTATTCCGGTGTAATCTCCGGTGTTGGTCTCTTTTCTAAATATAACCCCCACCCATTGTGTCATGTTGATATTCTTAATAAAAATCTCAGGTTCTGTTTTTGCAAAGGCTCCTTGGGTTTTCAGACTTGGAAAGGCACAGAAGAGACCCCAAAGGACATCCAGTCCAACCCCCTTGTGCCAGGCATGAAGATACCATCAAAGCCCTCCCGACAGATGGCCGTCCACCCCATACAATTGGAAAAGATCCCAACAGCCATCCAGTCTAATCCACTTCTGCCAGGTAGGAAGACACCATCAAAACCCTCCCGACAGATGGCCGTCCAGCCCCATTCAATTGGAATAGATTCCAAGGGCCATCCAGTCCAACCCCCTTCTGCAAGGTATGAAGACACCATCAAAGCCCTTCCGACAGATGGCCATCCAGCCCCATTCAATTGGAATAGACTCCAAGGGCCATCCAGTCCAACCCACTTCTGCCAGGCATGAAGACAGCTTCAAAGCCCTCCTAACAGATGGCCATCCAGCCCCATATAATTGGAATAGACCCCAAGGGCCATCCAGTCCAACCCACTTCGGCCAGGCATGAAGACAGCATCAAAGCCCTTCCAACAGATGGCCATCCAGTCCTATTCAATTGGAATAGACCCCAAGGGCCATCCAGTCCAACCCCTGTTTGTCAGGCAGGAAGACACCTTCAAACCCTTCTGACAGATGGCCATGCAGCCCCATACAATTGGAATAGATCCCAACAGCCATCCAGTCCAACCCCCTTCTGCCAGGCATGATGACAGCATCAAAGCCCTCCTAACAGATGGCCTTCCAGACCCATTCAATTGGAATAGATTCCAAGGGCCATCCAGTCCAACCCCCTTCAGCCAGGTAGAAAGACACCATCAAAGCCCTCCTGACAGATGGCCATCCAGCCCCATTCAATTGGAATAGACTCCAAGGGCCATCCAGTCCAACCCCCTTCTGCCAGGCAGGAAGACACCATCAAAGCCCTCCTGACAGATGGCCATCCAGCCCTATTCAATTGGAATAGACTCCAAGGGCCATCCAGTCCAACCCCCTTCAGCCAGGTAGAAAGACACCATCAAAGCCCTTCTGACAGATGGCCATGCAGCCCCATACAATTGGAATAGATCCCAATAGCCATCCAGTCTAACCCACTTCTGCCAGGCATGAAGACACCTTCAAAACCCTCTTGACAGATGGCCTTCCAGCCCTATTCAATTGGAGTAGACTCCAAGGGACATCCAGTCCAACCCACTATTGCCAGGCAGGAAGACACCATCAAAGCCCTCCCGACAGATGGCCATCTAGCCCCATACAATTGGAATAGACTCCAAGGGCCATCCAGTCCAACCCACTTTGGCCAGGAAGACATCATTAAAGCCCTCCCGACAGATGGCAGTCCAGCCCCATTCAATTGGAATAGACTCCAAGGGCCATCCAGTTCAACCCCCTTCTGCCAGGCAGGAAGACACCATCAAAGCCCTCCTGATAGATGGCCATCCAGCCCCATTCAATTGGAATAGTCTCCAAGGGCCATCCAGTCCAACCCACTTCGGCCAGGCAGGAAGACACCATCAAAGCCCTCCTGATAGACGGCCATCCAGCCCCATTCAATTGAAATAGTCTCCAAGGGCCATCCAGTCCAACCCACTTCGGCCAGGCAGGAAGACACCATCAAAGCCCTTCCAACAGATGGCCATCCAGCCCTATACAATTGGAATAGACCCCAAGGGCCATCCAGTCCAACCCACTTCGGTCTGGCAGGAAGACACCATCAAAGTCCTCCCGACAGATGGCCGTCCAGCCCCATTCAATTGGAATAGACTTCCAGTCCAACCCACTTTGGCCAGACATGAAGACAGCATCAAAGCCCTTCCGACAGATGGCCATCCAGCCCCATTCAATCGGAATAGACTCCAAGGGCCATCCAGTCCAACCCCCTTTGGCCAGACAGGATGAGAACATCAACTCTCTCCCAACAGATGGCCACCCACCCCCATACAATTGGAGTAGACCCCAAGGGCCATTAAGTCCAGTGTTGCAATTGGTGACCTTAATTAGCATTGAATGGCCTTGCAGCTTCAAAGCCTGGCTGCTTCCTTCCTGGGGTAATACTTTGTTCAAAAGTGTTAGCTGGCCCTGATTGTTTCCTGACTGGAATTCCCCTGTTTTCTGAGTGTTCCTCTTTATTTACTGTAAATAAGTGAAGAAGTGGAGTTTATATATCTGTGGAATAATGTCCAGGGTGGGAGAAAGAACTCTTGTCTGTTGGAGTGAGTGTTGAAATTGGCTTTCTTGATTAGTATTGAATAGACTTGCAGCTTCAAAGCCTGGCTGGTTGCTACCTGGGGGAATCCTTTGTTGGGAGGTGTTAGCTAGCCCTGAATATTTCTTGTCTGGAATTCTCCTGTGGAATAAAGTCCAGGGTGGGAGAAAGAACACTTGTCTGTTGGAGGCCAGTGTGAATGTTGCAACTGGACACTTTGATTAGCATTGAATAGCCTTGCAGCTTCAAGGCTTGGCTGCTTCCTGACTGGGAGAAATCTTTTGTTGGGAGGTGTTAGCTGGCCATGATTGTTTCTTGTCTGGAATTCTCCTGTGGAATAAAGTCCAGGGTGGGAGAAAAAACTCTTGTCTGTTGGAGGCAAGTGTGAATATTGCAACTGGCCACTTTGATTAGCATTGAATAGCCTTGCAGCTTCAAGGCTTGGCTGCTTCCTGCATGGGAGAAATCCTTTGTTTGGAGGTATTATCTGGCCCTGGATTGTTTCCTGTCTGGAATTCCCCTGTTTTCTGAGTGTTGTTTTTATTTACTATAAATAAGTAAAGAAGTGGAGTTTATATATCTGTGGAATAATGTCCAGAGTGGGAGAAAGAACTCTTGTCTGTTGGAGACAAGTATGAGTGTTGCAATTGGCTTCCTTGATTAGCATTGAATATACTTGCAGCTACAAAGCCTGGCTGGTTGGTACCTGGGGGAATCCTTTGTTGGGAGGTGTTAGCTGGCCCTGATTGTTTCCTGTCTGGCATTCCCCTATTTTATGACTGTTACTCTTTATTTATTGTAAATAAGTAAACAAGTAGAGTTTATTTATCTGTGGAATAATGTCCAGGGTGGGAGAAAGAACTCTTGTCTGTTGGAGGCAAGTGTGAATATCGCAACTGGACACTTTGATTAGCATTGAATAGCCTTGCAGCTTCAAGGCTTGGCTGCTTCCTGCCTGGGAGAAATCCTTTGTTGGGAGGTGTTAGCTGGTCCCAATTGTATCTTGTCAGGAATTCTCCTGTGGAATAAAGTCCAGAGTGAGAGAAAGAACACTTGTCTGTTGGAGGCCAGTGTGAATGTTGCAATTGGCCACCTTGATTAGCATTGAATAGCCTTGCAGCTTCAAAGCCTGGCTGCTTCCTGCCTTGGGGAATCCAACACTCAGAAAACAGGGGAATTCCAGACAGGAAGCGATCAGGACCAGGCTGGCACCTCCCGACAAAGGATTCCCCCAGTCAGGAAGTAGCCAGGCTTTGAAACTGCAAGGCCATTCAATGCTAATCAAACTAGCCAATGGCAATATTATTCACACTTGCCTCCAACAGACAAGAGTTCTTTCTCCCACCCTTGACGTTATTCCACAGATAAATAAACTCTACTTATTTACTTATTTACAATAAATAAAGAGCATCACTCAGAAAACAGGGAATGCCAGACAGGAAACAATCAGGGCCAGCCAACAAAGGATTCCCCCAGGCAGCAACCAGCCAGGCTTTGTAGCTGCAAGTCCATTCAATGCTAATCAAGGAGGCCAATTACAACACTCACTCTTGCCTCCAACAGACAAGAGTTCTTTCTCCCACCCTGGACATCATTCCACAGATATATTAACCCAATTTTTCTAGTTTCCAGCAGACCTCACAACCTCCGAGGATGCCTGCCATAGATGTGGGTGAAACGTCAGAAGAGAATGCTTCCGGAACATGGCCAGACAGCCTGGAACAATTCTATTAAAAAGTAGTTCTCTTTTTCTCCATTTACCAAACGTGGGAAACTCACAGAAAGACAACATTTGAAGCATTTCCTTTTTAAAAAAACAACAGTTTTACTAATTTTTCTTGGTCTTTTTTTCTTCCTTTGTAAGAACAGAAACAGAACTTTGCTGCAAAGTTCCCAAAAAGTCCCCTCCGCAGAGGTCGGGTTCTGTCCCTCGCTCCCCAGGTAAGGTTTCACGATCCGGTCCGTCTTGAACCCAGGCCTCTGTCTTCTGGAAGCCACGTCCCATCGTAGTCATCAGTGTTTCTGGCTCAGGAAGTTACGGGAGAGAAGGGAGGCCGGGGCATGCCTTCCCTGCTAGGTGGGGACCGCGGCTCCTCTCGTGGCTTCGTCCCGGCCTCGTCCCTGGGAGACATAGTCTGCAGTGGAGAGAGAGGAAAGAGAGGATGCAGCCTCTATCCTTGGCCCACAAACTCACCCCGAAGGAGGCCAGGACAAAGTTGGCAGGACAAAGAAATCAATAATATCGATCCAAGACTTGGAACATCTAAGGTCATATGGTGAGAGAGCGCCATCCTCTGACCACTTAATATAAATAGCAGGCAATTTCAGAAGAGCTTCATCCTGTTGTTTTTGCTTCATGATTATTCATATTAAGAAATAAGTTATAATGAAGTAATTAAGGCTGGATTGATTAGGAGATTGGTTTGGTCAAATCTTATAAGCATATAAAAGTTATAATTCAATTAGAGATTTAAGGAATTGAACATATACGTGTCATCTTAAGGTAACGGGTGAAAGTTGGGATAAGTTACCTAATCGAGCAGATGTTTGGGGTCACAACGTGCCTGCCAAGACCTGATGAAGATGTCCTTGGCAACTATACATGAAAACACCTGTTAATGGTTGTATTGTGTAAATGTCAGACTCGTTCGGGTAACGTATATTCCGCAACAGAATCATAGAGTTGTAAGGGGACCCCAAAGGTCATCCAGTCCAACTCTCTTCTGTATAAATATACACTCAGTCAAAGGATCATTGAGTTGGAAGGGAACCCCAAAGATCATCCAGTCCAACTCTCTTCTGTATAAATATACAATCAATCAATCAAAGAATCATAGAGTTGGAAGGGAACCCCAAAGATCATCCAGTCCAACTCTTTTCTGTATAAATATACCATCAATCAAAGAATCATAGTTGGAAGGGAACCCCAAAGGCCATCCAATCCAACTCTCTTTTGTATAAATATACAATCAATCAATCAAAGAGTTGGAAGGGAACCTCAAAGGCCATCCAGCCCATCTCTCTTCTGTATAAACATACAATCAATCAATCAGTCAGTCATAGAGTTGGAAGGGAACCCCAAAGGCCATCCAGTCCAACTCTCTTCTGTATAAATATACAATCAATCAATCAATCAATCAATCAAAGAATCATAGAGTTGGGACACAGAACCCACATGACCAACAAAACATACTGAAGGTCTTTGGAGGGATTTATAGGAGTTGTAGTTCACGCAAACTATGATGAACCCAAACAAGGATGGATCTGGACCGAACATGGCATGCATACCCAAAATGCCCAAATTTGGATACTGGTGGGTTTGGAGGGGAATTGGCCTGGACATTTTGGAGTTGTAGGTATTGGGATTTATAGTTCACCTGCAATCCTTGAGCACTCTGAACTACACCAAAAATGGAATTGGACCAAACTTCGCACACAGAGTCCCCATGACGAGTAAAAAATACTGGAGGTCTTTGGGGAAAATTCAACTTGATTTAGGGGGAGTTGTAGTTCACCTACATCCAGAGATCACCGTGAACCCGAACACCGATGGATCCTGGCACACGTAACTGATACATCCAAATTTGATTACTGGAGGGGTTTGAAGGGAACTGACCTTCCTTTCTGGGAGTTGTAGTTCACCCACAAGCAGAGAAAGTGTGATTTCCACCGATGATGGACCTGGACCAAACTTGGCACGCAGAACCTCCATGACTTACTCAACCTACTGGAGGGGTTTGAGGGGACTGACTCACCGGTCAGTCCCCTCTTGGCTTTACCTGTCGGCTTACCTGTCACTTCCGTGGCCAGGTCCAGAGCAGCTGCCGCGTGGCTAGAACGAATGGGCTCCCACAAAGACGGTGAGGCGCAGCACGGAGCTGGAGCGGTAGCTCATCAGGGTGTTCATGGTGACCATCTCCAAGTCCAGGACAAACTCCCGGGGACCCGTCACCGGCCGGGCCAAGACCAGCATGGCGCTGATGTTGTTGATTTGCTGGGGAAAGGGACAAAAGAGACAAAGGGTGACCATATTGCAGGGTGTAGGACTCTTTGGACTCCAGGGACTGGATGGCCATCTGTCAGGAGGGCTTGGGTGTTTTCCTGCCTGTCAGAAGGGGGTTGGACTGGGTGGCCTTTGGGGGTGCCTTCCAATTCTAGTGGGATATAGACTGCCTGGGAGTCTGATTGAGTCTCCTTCTTTGGAGGTTTTTCAAGCAGAGGCTGGACGGCTATCTAACGGGAGGGCTTTGATGGTGTCTTCCTGAATGACAGGAGATGGATGGCACTTGGGGTCTCTTCCAACTCTAGGATTCAATAATAATAATAATAATAATAATAATAATAATAATAATAGACAATAATGATGGTGGCGGTGTCTCCTCTGGAGGTTTTTAAGTAGAGGCTGGATGGCCGTCTGTTGGGAGGGCTTTGATAGTGCCTTCCTGAAAGGAAGGAGTTGGACTGGATGGCTCTTGGGGTTTCTTCCAACTCTAGGATTCAATAATAATAATAATAATAATAATAATAATAATAAACAATAATGATGGTGGTGGTGTCTCCTCTGGAGGTTTTTAAGTAGAGGCTGGATGGCCATCTGTTGGGAGGGCTTGGATGGTGCCTCCCTGAATAGCAAGTACTTAGCCTGGATGGCTTTTGGGGTCTATCCCAACTCTAGGATTCATTAATAATAATTATAATCGACAATAATGATGATGGTGTCTCCTCTGGAGTTTTTAATGCAGAGGCTGGATGGCTATCTGTCGGGAGAGCTTGGTCTGGATAGCTGTTGGGGTTTCTTCCAACTCTAGGATTCAATAATAATAATCATCATCATCATCATCATCATCATCTATGATTCTATGATTCTATAATCAATAATTATGATGGTGTATCCTCCTTTGGATGGTTTTTAAGCAGTGGCTGGATGGCCATTTGTTGGGAGGGCTTCAATGGTGCCTTCCTGAATGGCAGGAGTTGGACTGGATGGCTCTTGGGGTTTCTTCCAACTCTAGGATTCAATAATAATAATGGTGTCTCCTCCTTTGGATGGTTTTTAAGTAGGAGCTGGGTGGCCATCTGTCGAGAGTGCTTTGATGGTGCCTTCCTGAATGACAGGAGATGGATGACTCTTGGGGTCTTTTCCAACTCTAGGATTCAATAATAATAACAATAGGCAATAATTATGGTGGTGTCTCCTCCTTTGGATGGCTTTTAAGTAGGGCCGGGATGGCCATCTGTTGGGAGGGCTTTGATGGTGTATTCCTGTCTGGCAGAATGGGGTTAGACTGGATGACCTCTGGTGTCTCTTCCAACTTGAGAATTTTAAGATTCAATCCACTGATCAATCAATTGATTGATTCCTCTTTGGCCGAAACGGGTTGGACTAGATGTCCGTTGGCGTTCTCTTCCCACTCTAGAACCCGCCTTCTTACCCGAATATAGAACTCTCCTTGTTCGTTGCCCGAGCGGATCTGGAACGTGTTGTAAGCCCCAGGATAGACGCTGGTGGCCTGGATCTGGAAGATATCGGAAGGCACCGTCCGGTCAGCGGTGATGCTCATGTATCGGTGGACGATGGACGAGGGCTTGTCGCGGCAGAGAGGATTTGTTGCCGGGCAGAGGCAGCGGCTGCAGCGGGAACAAATCGGCAGGGATAACGCTATTAATGACGCCATATCCGGGTCGCGTGGACCGCCAGGACCTTTCCTACGCCTTGGCCCTACTCACTTTTCGGAGACTTGGATGTACGGTTCCTGGCAGCGGTTCTTCTCCACGCAGCGGTATTCCCCGTGGAAGTTGATGCAGTTCTGGGTTTCGGTGCATTGGTGGGCCCCCGTCTCGCATTCGTTAATATCTAGGGTTGGCGGAAGATAAGAGAGAGTCAGAAGGGACCCCAAAAACCATCTAGTCCAGCCCCCTTCTGGCAGGCAGGAAGACACCATCGAAGCCCTCCTGACAGATGGCCAACCAACTCTGCTGACAAACTCCAGAGAAGGAGACTCCATCATCATCAACTTTATCAAACAAGATAGTGAAGATTGAGTCTTTGAGTTGGTAGGGACCCCAAAAGCCATCTAGCCCAACTCCATTCAGGCAAGAAGACACCATCAAAGCCCTCCCAATAGATGGCCAACCAACTCTGCTTAAAAACTCCAAAGAAGGAGACTCCATCATCATCAACATTATCTAAGAAGATGGTGATGATTGAGTCTTAGAGCTGGAATTGACCCCAAAAGCCATCTAGTCCAACCCCTTTCATCCTGGCAGGAAGACACCATCAAAGTCTTCCCGACAGATGGCCATCCAACTCTGCTTTAAAACTCCAGAGAAGGAAACTCCATCATCAGCATCATTATCAAAGAAGATGATTGAGTCTTAGAGCTTGAAGGGATCCCAAATGCCATATAGTCCAATTTCCTTCATCCAAGCAGGAAGACACCATCAAAGCCCTCCCGACGGATAGCCATCCAACTCTGCTTAAAAACTCAAGGGAAGGAGACTCCATCATTATCAAAGAATATGAGGATGATTGAGGCTTAGAGTTGGAAGGGACCCCAAAAGCCACCTAGTCCAGCCCCCTTCATTCAGGCAGGAAGACACCATCGAAGCCCTCCCGACAGATGACCATCCAACTCTGCTCAAAAACTTCAAAAAAGGAGACTCCATCATTATCAAAGAAGATGGTGATGATTGAGTCTTAGAGCTGGAATGGACTTCAAATGCCATATAGTCCAATTCCCTTCATCCAGGCAGGAAGACACCATCAAAGCCCTCCCGATAGATGGCCATCCAACTGCTTGGAAACTCCAGAGAAGGAAACTCCATCATCAACATCATCATCAAAGAAGATGATTGAGTCTTAGAGCTGGAAGGGACCCCAAAGGCTATCTAGTCCAATTCCATTCATCCAGGCAGGAAGGTACCATCAAAGCCCTCCCGGCAGATGGCCATCCAACTCTGCTTAAAAACTCCAAAGAAGGAGACTCCTTAATCGTCAACATTATCAAAGAAGATGGGGATGATTGAGTCTTAGAGCTTAAATGGACCCAAAATGTCATATAGTCCAACTTTCTTCATCCAGGCAGGAAGACACCATCAAAGCCCTCCTGACGGATGGCCATCCAACTCTGCTTAAAAACTCCAGAAAAGGAGACTCCAGAATCATTATCAAAGAAGATGGTGATGACTGAGTCTTAGAGCTGGAAGGAACCCCAACTGCTAGTCCAGCCCCCTTCATCCAGGCAGGAAGACACCATCAAAGCCATCCTGACGGATGGCCATCCAACTATGCTTGAAAACTCCAGAGAAGGAGACTCCATAATTATCAAAGAAGATGAGGATGACTGAGTCTTAGAGTTGGAAGGGACCCCAAAAGCCATCTAGTCCAACCCCTTCATCCAAGCAGGAAGACACCATCAAAGCCTTTCCAACAGATGGCCATCCAACTATGCTTAAAAACCCCAGAGGAGACTCCATTGTGCCATAAAGCTGTGCCATAAACCCAAAAGCCATCTAGTCCAGCCCCCTTCATCCAGGCAGGAAGACACCATCAAAGCCCTCCCAACAGATGGCCATCCAACTCTGCTTAAAAACTCCAGAGAAGGAGACTCCATCATCATTGTTATCAAAGAAGATGGGGATGATTGAATATTATTGATGAAGAGATCCCAAAAGCCATATACTCCAACCTCCTTCATCCAAGCAGGGAGATACCATCAAAGCCCTCCCAACAGATGGCCATCCAACTCTGCTTAAAAACTCCAAAGAAGGAGACTCCATCATTGTCAATATTATCAAAGAAGACGGTGATGATTGAGTCTTAGAGTTGGACGGGACCCCAAAAGCCATCTAGTCCAACCCCCTTCATCCAGGCAGGACGACAACACAGCCAGCAGTGTGATGCGGCAGCGAAAAAGGCCAATGCAATTCTGTACTGCATCAAAAGGAGTACAGTGTCTAGATCAAGGGAAGCCGTAGCCCGTTTTGTCAGACGTGGGTAGAAATGGATATGGATGGATCATAGTGTCAATAGAATAATAATAATAATAATAATAATAATAATAATAATAATAATAATAACCTTGACAGAGACGGGTGCTGAGCAGTTGATATCCTTGAGGGCAGGCGCAGGAGAAATGGCCTGGCTCGTTGACGCACTGATATTGGCACAAGTAAGTGGAATAGCTGCATTCGTCAACATCTGGGGGGGAAAGGAAGTAAATGTTATTTACCTGTAAGTTATGCCCAATGCCCTAAAAATCCCCTAAAGAATCAGATCTCAAATGAAAACACAGCAATGAGAAAGTGTCTTGCTGCCTGGAATACGCAGCAAAACAGCACCCTCTGGTGGCTATGGCTGGAACATCACAATCTATCTATCTTTATATATATAAATTTGTTAGGGGCATCCAACGGAGAAACAAAACTCAAAACCCCCCAACGAAACTTAACCAAAATTCCCATGCCCATAACACAACCCACAAGGTACAAACATATCTACTCAAAATGAAAAACAACACAACAACACACTCACAAAACGGCAAAACAACAAAACTCAAAAATCCCCCACGAAACTTAACCAAAATTCCCATGCCCATAACACAACCCACAAGGTACAAACATATCTACTCAAAATGAAAAACAACACAACAACACACTCACAAAACGGCAAAACAACAAAACTCAAAAAAACCCCAACGAAACTTAACCAAAATTCCCATGCCCATAACACAACCCACAAGGTACAAACATATCTACTCAAAATGAAAAACAACACAACAACACACTCACAAAATGGCAAAACAACTGAGTATGCGCATTGGCGCCCAGCCGCAAGTTCCCTGGCGCGCGCACATGACCTTCCGGCCAACGTTCCCTCTGCGGAAACCATGCCCACTCCAAGCCCCGCCGCGCCGCTTCCCGCACACACACACCCCCTGCCGCACGCACACACACAACCCCACACTCCATCACTCCCCCCGCCGCCGCACACACACACGCAACCCCACACTCCATCACTCCCCCGCACACACACACGCAACCCCACACTCCATCACTTCCCCCGCCGCCGCACGCCCCACGCAACCCCACTCCCCCCCCCCCCCCCCCCCCCCCCCCCCCCCCCCCCCCCCCCCCCCCCCCCCCCCCCCCCCCCCCCCCCCCCCCCCCCCCCCCCCCCCCGCCGCCCGCACACACACACACACACCCCCACGCTCCATCCCCCCCCGCCGCCGCACACACACACGCAACCCCACTCCATCACTCCCCCCCCGCCCGCACACACACACGCAACCCCACGCACTCACTCCCCCCCGCCGCCGCACACACACACGCAACCCCATGCTCCCACTCCCCCCGCCGCCGCACACACACACGCAACCCCACGCTCCATCACTCCCCCCCCACCGCCGCACACACGCCGCCGCACACACACACGCAACCCCACGCTCCATCACTTCCCCCGCCGCCGCACACACACACGCAACCCCACGCTCCATCACTTCCCCCCCCCGCCCCCCCCCCGCCCCCACAAACTACCACTCCCATGGCTCCATCCAGTACTCCCCCTCCACTTGCCTTCACTGTTAATCTTGCACTTGCTCCATCACTCAACTTCGTTCCCTTTCCCCCCGCACCCAATCTTACCTCCTTTTACTTCTACAACGCCACCATCCAAAAACCCCACCCCCCCACATCCAACCCCACTCCCACACCCCCCCCTACCCCCTTCCCGTCCCCAGGGAGAAGGAAGCATGGAACAAAAGAGAGAAGGAAGGAGGTAGAGAAGGAAGAAAGAAGAGAGAGAGAGGGAAAGAAAAAAGGGGGAAGGAAGGAAAGTTAGAGAAGGAAAGAAGGAGAAAAAGAAAGAAAAAAAGGGAAAGATGGAAGGAAAGAAAGAGCGAAAGAAGGGGGGAAGATGTAGAGAAAGAGGGAGGGAAAGAAAGAAGGAAAGGGAGAAGGAAGCATGGAAGCAAAGAGAGAAAAAGTGGCGGGTAAAGGTTGTTATTTCTATTATTATTATTATTATTATTATTATTATTATTATTATTATATTATTATTATTATGCTATTATTCCTATGAGACCCTTTTAGGGGGAATGGGAGAGGTGTCAGGTCCCAGAGGCAATGCATTGCATTATTGTTATTGTTATGATGGTGGTGAAATAAAAGGAAATAAAAAGAGAAAGAAGGAAGCAAACAGGGAGGGAAGAAAGGCAAAGGAAGAAAGGGGGAGGGAATGAAGGAAAGAGAGAAGGATGAAACCAAGTAGTGAAAGAAGGAAAGAAAGAAAGAGGTAGAGAAGGAGAGAAAGGGGGAGGAAAAGGGGGAAGGAATAGGTAGGGACCTCTCTTTCATAATAGTCCAGATATCTACCTCAACTTCGATAAGTTTTACTATAGGCCACAGCAACGCGTGGCAGGGCACAGCTAGTTATCTATATAAATAAAAATGTATTTGGTCTTGGAAATTGTAGAGTTGGGGTCCCGCACTTACCTTTGCAGGTGAATCCATCTTCGTCCAATTCGTAGCCCTGGTTGCAGCGGCAAATGAAGGTGCCATAGGTGTTGAAGCAGCGCTGCTTGCACGGGGCCCCCATTTCACACTCGTTCACATCTGCGAGAAGGGAATAAAATCATAAACATTGGAAAATGCCCTAAGGGCCAACCGGTCAACTCTATCATGCTCATAAGGAAAACACAGTCAAAGCCCTTCCGGAGACAAGATGGAACTGTCCCCTGGCCCCCTCTCTCTTCACTCTGGCCCAGAGCAGCAGTTGGTGCTGGGTGGAGGGGTCCCCAACCGATGCCATATGCAGGAGACAAGATGGAACTGTCCCCTGTCTCCCTCTCTCTTCACTCTGGCCCACAGAAGTTGGTGCTGAGGGGAGGGGTCCACAACTGATGACATAAGCAGGAGACAAGATGGATCTGTCCCTTGGACCCCTCTCTCTTCGCTCTGGCCCACAACAGCAATTGGTACTAGGAGAGGGGTCCCCAACTGATGACATATGCAGGAGACAAGATGGAACTGTCCCCTGGCCCCCTCTCTCTCTTCACTCTGGCCCAGAGCGGCAGTTGGTGCTGGGGGGAGGGGTCCCCAACTGATGACATATGCAGGAGACAAGATGGAACTGTCCCCTGGCCCCTCTCTCTTCACTCTGGCCCAGAGCAGCAGTTGGTGCTGGGGGAGAGGGGTCCCCAACTGATGACATATGCAGGAGACAAGATGGAACTATCCCCTGGCCCCCTCTCACTTCACTCTAGCCCAGAGCAGCAGTTGGTGCTGAGGGGAGGTGTCCCCAATTGATGACATTTGTAGAAGACAAGATGGAACTGTCCCCTGGTCCCCTCTCTCTTCACTCTGGCCCAGAGCAGCAGTTGGTGCAGAGGGGCGGGGTCCCCAACTGATGACATATGCAGGAGACAAGATGGAACTGTCCCCCCCCCTCTCCCCTCCCCCCTCTCAGCGGGCTCCCGCCCCCCTCGTCCAAGGGCCCGTTTCCATCTATTTTCCTGTAACTGGACATGCTGCGACAGGGCACTTATGGGTACTTCTGGGGGCTCTGGTATAATGCTGCAGATGAGGTCCTTGTGGCACTTTCAACTAAATACATATTGCAGGACACACCTCAAACAAGATGGAATTGTCCCCTGGTCCCCCCCTCTCTCTACTACTAAACTCACTCCCGCTCTCCTCTACTCGTTCTGACTACTCTACTCTGGCCGGAGAAAAGCCAGTTGGTGCGTGGCGGAAGGGTGGTGCCCCGCAAAACTGATTACAGATTCTCCTGGAGACAAAAGGTGGGACTGTCCCCTGGGTCCCCTGGGCCCCCCTCTCCTCTCCCCTTCCAACTGATGACATATCCGGGAGACAAGGTGGGACTGTCCCCTGGCCCCCTCTCCCTTCACTCTGGCCCAGAGCAGCAGTTGGGGCTGGGGAGAGGGGTCCCCAACTGATGACATATGCAGGAGACAAGATGGAACTGTCCCCTGGCCCCCTCTCCCATCACTCTGGCCCAGAGCAGCAGTTGGGGCTGGGGAGAGGGGTCCCCAACTGATGACATATACAGGAGACAAGATGGAACTGTCCCCTGGTCCCCTCTCTCTTCACTCTGGCCCAGAGCAGAAGTTGGTGCTGGGTGGAGGGATCCCCAACTGGAGACATATGCAGGAGACAAGATGGAACTGTCCCCCTGGCCCCCTCTCTTCTTTCTTAAGAGACTTGCATCCATTTAGATTAGCCAGATATTCGTGTACTGTCTCTTTACCTATTTAATGCCCCCTTTCCCCAACCCTTCCATAGAAAACGTGGGCCAAATTCCTCCCTGTTTGTGCCATCCAAACACTCAGGATCCTTCTTACCCACACAAGAGCGGTTATTGCTGGCGAGTTGGAAGCCCGGTTCGCACTGGCAGGAGAAGGAGCCGGGCGAATTGACGCAACGGTGTTGGCAATAGCGGTAGCGGCATTCATCGATGTCTGAAACAGAGAGAGAGAAAAAGACGAAGTGCTATCAAAGTTGGATCTTTTTATGACCTGACCCGTCAACATTTCTGCGGCTGAGCAACGTCAGAGTAGGGGTCAAGGTGGCAAAAGGAACTCCAAAATTTCGAGTCGAGGGTTGGACTAGATGAACCTCAAAGTGGTACATATTTCTGCGAATGGCGTCCAACTCACCCACGCACTCAGTGCCAATCTTCCGGTAGCCGTCGGGACACTGGCAGTGGAACCCCCCCGGTGTGTTGATGCACTGTTGGCTCGGCTGGCAGTCGTGCAAATCGTACTCGCATTCGTCCACATCTGTGTTCGGAAGCAAAAACAGAGAATCAGGTAGACTCCTAGATTTGGAAGAGAACCCCAATGGCCATCCAGTCCAACCCCAATGCAATTCTCAGGCAGGAATTGGATCCATTTGATTGATCAGTGGATTGAATCCTAGAAGCATAGACACCTCAATGGCCATCCAGTCCAATCCCCTTCTGCCAGGTAGGGAGACACCATCCAAGCCCTCCTGACAGATGGCCATCCGGCTTCTGCTTAAAAATCTCCAGAATAGATTATTATTATTATTCCAGGCTCATCAATAGGATTGGAGTGTTGTTGTTATTGTTGTTATTATTATTAAGCAGAAGAAGCCATCCAGCTTCTGCTCAAAAATCTCCAGAAATAATAATAATAATAATAATAATAATAATAATTATTATTATTATTATTATTATTATTATTATTATTATTTCAGGCTGCATCAGTAGAATTGGAGTGTTGTTGTTGTTGTTGTTGTTGTTGTTGTTATTATTATTATTATTATTATTATTCCAGGCTGCATCAATAGGATTGGAGTGTTGTTATTGTTGTTGTTGTTATTATTATTATTATTATTATTATTATTATTAAGCAGAAGCCATCCAGCTTCTGCTCAAAAATCTCCAGAAAATATTATTATTATTATTATTATTATTATTATTATTATTATTCAAGGCTGCATCAATAGGATTGGAGTGTTGTTATTGTTGTTGTTGTTATTATTATTATTATTATTATTAAGCAGAAGCCATCCAGCTTCTGCTCAAAAATCTCCAGAAAATATTATTATTATTATTATTATTATTATTATTATTCCAGGTTGCATCAGTAGGATTGGAGTGTTGTTGTTATTGTTGTTGTTATTATTATTATTAAGCACAAGCCGTCCAGCTTCTGCTTAAAAATCTCCAGAAAATATTATTATTATTATTATTATTATTATTATTATTATTATTATTATTATTCCAGGCTGCATCAATAGGATTGGAGTGTTGTTGTTATTGTTGTTGTTGTTGTTAAGCAGAAGCCATGCAGCTTCTGCTTTAAAATCTCCAGAAATAATAATAATAATAATAATAATAATAATTATTATTATTATTATTATTATTCCAGGTTGCATCAATAGGAATGGAGTGTTGTTGTTGTTGTTGTTGTTGTTGTTGTTGTTGTTGTTATTATTATTTGAGTTGGAAGAGACTATGTAGTCCAACCCCCTTTTGCCAGATAGGAAGACACCATCCAAGCCCTCCTGACAGATGGCCATCCGGCTTCTGTCAGAGAAGAAGAAGAAGATGATAATGATGGTGATGATGATGATGATTATTCCATCAAGAGGAATGCAGCTCTGTTGTTGTTGTTGTTGTTGTTGTTGTTGTTAGAGTTGGAAAAGACTATCTAGTCCAACCCCCTTCCGCCAGGCAGGAAGACACCATCCAAGCCCCCCCGACAGATGGCCATCCAGCCTCTGCTTAAAAATTCCCAAAGAATATTATTATTATTATTATTATTATTATTATTATTATTATTATTATTATTCCAGGTTGCATCAATAGGAATGTAGTGCAGTTGTTGTTGTTAGAGTTGTTGTTAGAGTTGGAAGAGACTAACTAGTGCAACCCCCTTCTGCCAGGCAGGAAGACACCATCCAAGCTCTCCTGACAGATGGTCATCCAGCCTCTGCTCAAAAACCTCCAGGGTAGGAGATTCCACCAAACTCCCAGAGAGAATATTCCTTAATAGTTGGGGGACTCACCCAAGCAGGCCCCGTGCCTGTCCGGCTCATAGCCCTGGGGGCAAGTGTTCTGCACAGGGATGGCGTGGGGCGGTCTCGGGGGCCTCGGACGGGGAGGGCTCGGTACGACCCCCCGTTCGGCGTTGACATCGTTGATGACGGAGGCCGAGCGTGGCAAGCAGAGGTACCCGCCGTAGTGGTTGATGCACTTCATCTCTCCTTTACAGGCCTGGGGAATGGTTTCACATTCGTTGATATCTGGAGGGCAGGAGAAAGTCAGGGTCAGAGGGCTATTAATTATTATTATTATTATTATTATTATTATTATTATTATTATTATTATTATTGGAGCCCCTAGTGGCTCAAACCCAGAACCTCAACCAATGGCTGATACCAAATGAGAGACTCCTCCCTGGGCAAACAGAGGACTGGGCGACTTGGAAGGCGCTGAACAGACTGCGCTCTGGCACCACGGGATGCAGAGCCAACCTTCAGAAATGGGGCCACAAAGTGGAATCCTCGACATGCGAGTGTGGAGAAGAGCAAACCGCTGACCACCTGCTGCAATGCAACCTGAGCCCTGCCACATGCACAAGGGAGGACCTTCTTGCAGCAACACCAGAGGCACTCCAAGTGGCCAGATACTGGTCAAAAGACATTTAATCAACTACCAAGCTTGCAAATTCTGTGTTTTGTCTGTTTGTCTTTACCTTTGCAGTGCTGGCTCTCCGCATCCCACTGGTAGCCATCTGTACATTCCTAGGACAGAAGGACAAATGCAAGAGGTATATGATCTTGATTATAACTTCACAAAGTATTCCTCCTTTTGCAGATTTACCAGTCAAACAAACAGCCACAAAGGGCAACAGCTGAAGCTATGCCACTCGCTTACCGTATATGTGTCAGGTTCCTCTGGTTCTTGTGAAACTGCAACTCCCAGAAGCGTCGCCAGAAGGAGACACAAAATGGGCTTCATTGTTCCGCCTGAAAGAAAAAGAGAAGAAAGCTTAGAGATATTATATTATGGCGCGCTGCAATTCCCTTTTTCACATGGGACCCAAAAACAAAAAAGAAAACAGATGCCATTTTGCCAAATATTGATGCTGAAGCCTCTGAGCGCATACAGAGTGCAAATGCAAAGATATAATGGACAAAAGTCAACATTGACACTGAAATTCAACACTGCTTGAGCTCTGCGAGTGCAACTTTTTTCCGAATGAAGCAGAGAGTGTTTGAGGACCGGGACATCTGTAGGGAGACCAAGGTGCTTGTTTATAAAGCTATTGTTCTCCCAACCCTGCTATATGCCTGCGAGACGTGGACTGTCTACAGACGTCAACATTGACACTGAAATACAACACCGCCTGAGCTCTGCGAGTGCAGCATTTTTCCCAATGAAGCAGAGAGTGTTTGAGGACCAGTACATCTGTAGGGAGACCAAGGTGCTTGTTTATAAAGCTATTGTTCTCCCAACACTGCTATATGCCTGCGAGACGTGGACTGTCTACAGACGTCAACATTGACACTGAAATACAACACCGCCTGAGCTCTGCGAGTGCAGCATTTTTCCGAATGAAGCAGAGAGTGTTTGAGGACGACTGTAGGGATACCAAGGTGCTTGTTTATAAAGCTATTGTTCTCCCAACCCTGCTATATGCCTGCGAGACGTGGACTGTCTACAGACGTCAACATTGACACTGAAATACAACACCGCCTGAGCTCTGCGAGTGCAGCATTTTTCCCAATGAAGCAGAGAGTGTTTGAGGACCAGTACATCTGTAGGGAGACCAAGGTGCTTGTTTATAAAGCTATTGTTCTCCCAACACTGCTATATGCCTGCGAGACGTGGACTGTCTACAGACGTCAACATTGACACTGAAATACAACACCGCCTGAGCTCTGCGAGTGCAGCATTTTTCCCAATGAAGCAGAGAGTGTTTGAGGACCAGTACATCTGTAGGGAGACCAAGGTGCTTGTTTATAAAGCTATTGTCCTCCCAACCCTGCTATACGCCTGCGAAACGTGGACTGTCTACAGACGTCACATGCAACTCCTGGAACAATTCCATCCACAAGATGAGCCCACAGCAGACAAGATCACTCTGCTGGCTGTTGTATTGGATCACACGTCGGACACTGCCCAATGCCAGAAATACAGCTTAATGGTGTAACATTAGAAATTGTTGACCATTTCCACTCCCTTGGCAGCCACCTCTCCACCAAAGTCAACATTGACACTGAAATTCAACACCACCTGAGCTCTGCGAGTGCAGCATTTTTCCGAATGAAGCAGAGAGTGTTTGAGGACCGGGACATCCATAGGGAGACCAAGGTGCTTGTTTATAAAGCTATTGTCCTCCCAACTCTGCTATACGCCTGCGAAACGTGGACTGTCTACAGACGTCAACATTGACACTTAAATACAACACTGCCTGAGGTCTGCAAGTGCAGCATTTTTCCGAATGAAGCAGAGAGTGTTTGAAGACTGGGACATCCATAGGGAGACCAAGGTGCTTGTTTATAAAGCTATTGTCCTCCCAACCCTGCTATATGCCTGCGAGACGTGGACTGTCTACAGACGTCACATTCAACTCATGGAATGATTCCACCGCCTGAGCTCTGCAAGTGCAGCATTTTCCGAATGAAGCAGAGAGTGTTTGAGGACCGGGACATCCATAGGGAGACCAAGGTGCTTGTCTATAAAGCTATTGTCCTCCCAACCCTGCTATATGCCTGCGAGATGTGGACTGTCTACAGACGTCACATGCAACTCCTGGAACAATTCCATCAGCGCTGCCTCCAAAAAATCCTGCAAATCTCTTAGGAAGACAGGTGGACAAATGTCAGTGTGCTGGAAGAAGCAAAGACCACCAGCATTGAAGCGATGGCCCTCCGCCATCAACTCTGCTGGACCGGCCATGTTGTCCGGATGCTCGACCACCGTCTCCCAAAGCAGTTGCTCTACTCCGAACTCAAGAATGGAAAACAGAATGTTGGTGGGCAGGAAAAGAGATTTAAAGATGGGCTCAAAGCCAACCTTAAAACTCTGGCATAGACACTGAGAACTGGGAAGCCCTGGCCCTTGAGTGCTCCAGCTGGAGGTCAGCTGTGACCAGCAGTGCTGTAGAATTTGAAGAGGCACGAATGGAGGGCGAAAGAGAGAAACGTGCCAAGAGAAAGGCGCATCAAGCCAACCTCGACCGGGACCGCCTTCCTCCTGAAAACTGCGGGAGAAGATGCAGATCAAGAATTGGGCTCCACAGTCACCTACGGACCCACCGCCAGGACCCTGATCTTGGAAGACTATCCTACTTTGACAACGAGGGATCGCCAAAGTAAGTAAATAAGTTTGTTGATAAGTTACGAAGGTGGAGGCATTACTTTTCATTCAACCCTCGTAAAAAGTCCATCAGAAGGAGTCTAAAATATAAAATTTTCCAGCATAAACAAAACATGTACGGATCCCCCAAATGAGATCACAAAGAAGAGAAACTCAGGAAAGGATAAAGCCATTCAGATGTGTTGGACTATATTTCCCAGCATCCAGGGAAGACGTGTAAGGCCCATCGCCCTGCAACCATTGCCATGTCTTAAGTGTCCAAAAGAGTCAGGAAAGATGAAAAAAATGAAGTCCTGGGCTTGGATTGCAGGAATCCACCTCCTTCCAGGGATGAATGGAGCCTGTGTTGAGTTTGTCTTCAAAGGCTAAACAAGGTCTAAATATAGCCCTTCTTTGGACGAATGTATATATCTGTTTCAGCCACAGAGTTTATCCAAGAGTCCACCTCAAACTCCATCGTCAAGAGTCTCCGAAGGTTCAAAGCGGTGGTCAATTTTTAAAAAAACTAACGAAGCTAAAGTCAACTGGGATAGAAATGGGAACACTGATCAGTTTCTAAAGCAGGCATGGGCAAACTTTATCCCTCTGGAACTTTTAAGCTGGATGGCCATCTGTCGGGAGGGCTTTGATTGTGCCTTCCTGCCTGGCAGAATGAATTGGTTGACTCTTAGGGGTCTTTTCCAACTCTGGAACATAACAACAACAACAACAACAACAACAAACAATAATAATAATAATAATGTCTATTTCTCGAGTTTTTTAAAGCAGGGGCTGGATGGCCATCTGTCGGGAGGGCTTTGATTGTGCCTTCCTGCCTGGCAGAATGAATTGGTTGACTCTTAGGGGTCTTTCCGAACTCTGGAACATAACAACAACAACAACAACAACAAACAATAATAATAATAATGTCTATTTCTCGAGTTTTTTAAAGCAGGGGCTGGATGGCCATCTGTCGGGAGGGCTTTGATTGTGCCTTCCTGCCTGGCAGAATGAATTGGTTGACTCTTAGGGGTCTTTTCCAACTCTGGAACATAACAACAACAACAACAACAACAACAAACAATAATAATAATAATAATGTCTATTTCTTGAGTTTTTTAAAGCAGGGGCTGGATGGCCATCTGTCGGGAGGGCTTTGATTGTGCCTTCCTGCCTGGCAGAATGAATTGGTTGACTCTTAGGGGTCTTTCCGAACTCTGGAACATAACAACAACAACAACAACAACAAACAATAATAATAATAATAATGTCTATTTCTCGAGTTTTTTAAAGCAGGGGCTGGATGGCCATCTGTCGGGAGGGCTTTGATTGTGCCTTCCTGCCTGGCAGAATGAATTGGTTGACTCTTAGGGGTCTTTTCCAACTATAGAACATAACAACAACAACAACAACAACAACAACAACAACAACAATGTCTCTTTCTCAAGAGTTTTTTAAGCAGAGGCTGGGTGGCCATCTGTCTGGAGGGCTTTGACTGTGTCTTCCAGGGGTCTCTTCCACATCTAAAACACAATAGTAATAATAATAACTGACAATAATAATAATAATAATAATAATAATAATAATAATAATGGAGTCCCTTTCTCAAGAGTTTTTAAAGCAGAGGCTGGGTGGCCATCTATCTGGAGGGCTTTGACTGTGTCTTCCAGGGGTCTCTTCCACATCTAGAACACAATAATAATAATAACTCACAATAATAATAATAATAATAATGGAGTCTCTTTTTCAAGAGATTGTTAAGCAGAGGCTGGATGGCCATCTGTCTGGAGGGCTTTGATTGTGTCTTCCAGGGGTCTCTTCTAAATCTAGAATGCAATAATAACTGACAATAATAATAATGGAGTCTCTTTCTCAAGAGATTTTTAAGTAGAGGCTGGATGGCCATCTGTCGGGAGGGCTTGGATTGTGTCCTCCTTTCTGGCAGAATGGACTGGATGGCTCTTGGTTCTCTTCCAACTCTAGGACTCAATAATAATAATAATAATAATAATAATAATGGAGTCTCTTTCTCAGGAGATTTTTAAGCAGAGGCTGCATGGCCATCTGTCAGGAGGGCTTGGATTGTGCCTTCATGTAAGGTAGGGAGCTGGCCTGGATGTCCTTTGGAGGTGCCTTCCAACTCTTATGAGTGAATAAGCCGCCTCTGGAGGTTTTGAGGACGAAACTAGATGGCCATCTGTCGGGAAGGCTTTGATTGAGGGTTGGACTGGATGACCTTTGGGGTCTCTTCCTACTCCAGGATTCTATGATCCCTCTCTGGAGGTTTTTAAGCAGAAGGTGCATGGCCATCTGTCAGGAGGGCTTTGATTGCATCTTGGGTAACTCTTGTGGGTCCCTTCCAACTCTAGGGCTCATTATTATTATTATTATTATTATTATTATTATTATTATTAGATAATAATGATGATTATGGAATCTCTTTCTCAGGAGATGTTTAAGCAGAGGCTGCATAGCCATCTGTCAGGAGGGCTTGGATTATGCCTTCATGTAAGGTAGGGAGCTGGCCTGGATGTCCACTGGAGGTGTCTTCCAACTCTTATGAGTGAATAAGTCGCCTCTGGAGGTTTTGAATATGAGACTAGATGGCCATCTGTCAGGAGGGCTTGGGTTGTGCTATCATGTAAGGCAGGGAGCTGGACTGGATGTCCTTTGGAGGTGTCTTCCAACTCTTATGAGTCAAAGAGCCTTCTCTGGAAGTTTTGAATATGAGACTGAAGGGTTGAGACTACGACTCTAATAATAATAATAATAATAATAATAATAATAATAATAATAATAATAATAATAATAATGGAATCTCTTTCTTGGGAGATTTTTAAGCAGAGGCTACATGGCCATCTGTCAGGAGGGCTTGGATTGTGCCTTCATGTAAGGGCAACTCTTATGAGTGAATAAGCCGCCTCTGGAGGTTTTGAAGACGAAACTAGATGGCCATCTGTCGGGAGGGCTTTGAAGGTTGGACTGGATGACCTTTGGGGTCTTTTCCTACTCTAGGATTCTATGATCCCTCTCTGGAGGTTTTTAAGCCGAGGCTGGATGGCTATCTCTCGGGAAGGCTTGGATTGTGTCCTCTTCCTCCTCCCTAGAAGCAGAGGGTTGGACTGGATGACCTTTGGGGTCTTTTCCTACTCTAGGATTCTATGATCCCTCTCTGGAGGTTCTTAAGCCGAGGCTGGATGGCTATCTGTCGGGAAGCTTAGATTGTGTCCTCTTCCTCCTCCTCCCTAGAAGCAGGGGGTTGGACTGGATGGCCTTTGGGGTCCTTTCCAACTCTAGGATCCATTGGGAAGAGACCGAAAACGGGAACAGAAATAGACGTGGTTCCCGGCAGCTGGAGGGGACAAAAATCCCCAAATGACAAGTGTGTCCCTTTGGAAACAACAGAAAACGTTGTCCCAAAACATGGACAATAGCTGTGACCCGACTGGGCCACGATAATCTACTTTTCTCTCTCATCCCAGTCCCATTCCTCCTCCCTCTGGCCCTCTTCCCTGGCAGCTTAGGCCTCCTCCCCGTTTCTCTCCCAGCATCCCCAAAAGCAAAAAAAGGACACAAAAGCCCATCATCGCTCACCGCCCGGCTCTCCTCCTTTGGTTCTGGCTGGTTGCAAAGCAAGGCTCCCTTCTGGCTCTCTGGGATAGAGAGAGAGAGAGGGAGAGAGAGAGAGAGAGAGAGAGAGAGAGAGAGAGAGAAGTGTGCGCTGGCGCAACAAGGCTACCCCCCCCATCGAGAAAACCCAAATTCCTGGCCCCCCGCCAGGCAGCCAAAGGAGCCGCCAAAGGATTCCACCCAACATCTGGTTCCACTTAGCTCCCAGCAAACACCGCTTTTCCTGGCCAGCTGTTCCCAGCCATCAAATCCCCCCCTCGTCCTTGCAAAACATTTAACCCGACATGTGCTGCACCCCTGCGCAAGGCCGCGCGTTGCGTTCCAACAGGTACCGCACATACGAACCACGAAATGCACCGAGGTACGATCACAAAAAGGGATCAAGGAGCCTTAGCAAACCTGTACAGCCAGTTTGAAACCGGGTAAAGGATCCAAAAAGCGACTTACCAATCCCCTGCTTGGGCCATCTTATACGGCACGGAATTATGGAAATAAATAATTCCGCGTCGCTTTCAGGAAAGGGAAAAGCTGCGCATCGCAAATGCTGAACCGGACTCTGCACATAGACAGGGGCGGCTCAAGCATTACGCAAAGTAAGGAAAGGGAAAAGCTGCGCATCGCAAATGCTGAAGACGGACTCTGCACATAGACAGGGGCGGCTCAAGCATTACACAAAGTCAGGAAAGGGAAAAGCTACGCATCGCAAATGCTGAACCGGACTCTGCACATAGACAGGGGCGGCTCAAGCATTACGCAAAGGAAGGAAAGGGAAAAGCTGCGCATCGCAAATGCTGAACCGGACTCTGCACATAGACAGGGGCGGCTCAAGCATTACGCAAAGTAAGCATTACGCAAAGTAAGGAAAGGGAAAAGCTGCGCATCGCAAATGCTGAACCGGACTCTGCACATAGACAGGGGCGACTCAAGCATTACGCAAAGTAAGGAAAGGGAAAAGCTGCGCATCGCAAATGCTGAACCGGACTCGGCACATAGAAAGGGGCGGCTCAAGCATTACGCAAAGGAAGGAAAGGGAAAAGCTGCGCATCGCAAATGCTGAACCGGACTCTGCACATAGACAGGGGCGGCTCAAGCATTACGCAAAGTAAGGAAAGGGAAAAGCTGTGCATCGCAAATGCTGAACCGGACTCTGCACATAGACAGGGGCGGCTCAAGCATTACGCAAAGTAAGTTCTTAGTGGGATGGGCATCCCAAGCCACCTTGTCTCTCTCCTGAGGAATCTGTACAAGGACCAAGTAGCAACAGTCAGAACTGACCACGGAACAACAGACTGGTTCAAGATTGGGAAAGGCGTACGGCAAGGCTGCATCCTCTCACCCAACCTTTTTAACTTGTATGCAGAACACATCATGCGATGTGCAGGGATTGATGAATGCAAAGCTGGGGTGAAAATTGCTGGAAGAAACATTAACAACCTCAGATATGCAGATGACACCACTCTGATGGCCGAAAGCGAGGAGGAGCTGAGGAGCCTTCTAATCAAGGTGAAAGAAGAAAGCGCAAAAGCCGGGTTGCAGCTAAACGTCAAAAAAACCAAGATTATGGCAACAAGAATGATTGACAACTGGAAAATAGAGGGAGAAACCTTGGAGGCCGTGACAGACTTTGTATTTCTAGGTGCAAAGATTACTGCAGATGCAGACTGCAGCCAGGAAATCAGAAGACGCTTACTTCTTGGGAGGAGAGCAATGTCCAGTCTCGATAAAATAGTGAAGAGTAGAGACATCAGACTGGCAACAAAGATCCGCCTAGTCAAAGCCATGGTATTCCCTGTAGTAACCTACGGATGTGAGAGCTGGACCTTAGGGAAGGCTGAGCGAAGGAAGATCGATGCTTTTGAGCTGTGGTGTTGGAGGAAAGTTCTGAGAGTGCCTTGGACTGCGAGAAGATCAACCAGTCCATCCTCCAGGAAATAAAGCCCGACTGCTCACTGGAGGGAAAGATACTAGAGACAAAGTTGAAGTACTTTGGCCACATCATGAGGAGACAGGAAAGCCTAGAGAAGACAAGTATGCTGGGGAAAGTGGAAGGCAAAAGGAAGAGGGGCCGACCAAGGGCAAGATGGATGGATGGCATCCTTGAAGTGACTGGACTGACCTTGAGGGAGCTGGGGGTGGTAACGGCCGACAGGGAGCTCTGGCGTGGGCGGGTCCATGAGGTCACGAAGAGTCGGAGACGACTGAACGAATGAACAACAAAGCATTACGCAAAGTAAGGAAAGGGAAAAGCTGCGCATCGCAAATGCTGAACCGGACTCTGCACATAGACAGGGGCGGCTCAAGCATTACGCAAAGTAAGCATTACGCAAAGTAAGGAAAGGGAAAAGCTGCGCATCACAAATGCTGAACCGGACTAGGCATATAGACAGGGGCGGCTCAAGCATGACGCAAAGTAAGCATTACGCAAAGTAAGGAAAGGGAAAAGCTGCGCATCGCAAATGCTGAACCGGACTCTGCACATAGACAGGGGCGGCTCAAGCATTACGCAAAGTAAGCATTACGCAAAGTAAGGAAAGGGAAAAGCTGCGCATCGCAAATGCTGAACCGGACTCTGCACATAGACAGGGGCGGCTCAAGCATTACGCAAAGTAAGCATTACGCAAAGTAAGGAAAGGGAAAAGCTGCGCATCGCAAATGCTGAACCGGACTCTGCACATAGACAGGGGCGGCTCAAGCATTACGCAAAGTAAGCATTACGCAAAGTAAGGAAAGGGAAAAGCTGCGCATCGCAAATGCTGAACCGGACTCTGCACATAGACAGGGGCGGCTCAAGCATTACGCAAAGTAAGCATTACGCAAAGTAAGGAAAGGGAAAAGCTGCGCATCGCAAATGCTGAACCGGACTCAGCACATAGACAGAGGCGGCTCAAGCATCACGCAAAGTAAGCGTTACGCAAAGTAAGGAAAGGGAAAAGCTGCGCATCGCAAATGCTGAACCGGACTCGGCACATAGAAAGGGGCGGCTCAAGCATTACGCAAAGTAAGGAAAGGGAAAAGCTGTGCATCGCAAATGATGAACCGGACTCTGCACATAGACAGGGGCAGCTCAAGCATCATGCAAAGTAAGCATTACGCAAAGTAAGGAAAGCTGCGCATCGCAAATGCCGAACCGGACTCAGCACATAGACAGGGGCGGCTCAACCATTACGCAAAGTAAGCCTTTGCAGTACAGTTGATTTTGCTCAGGGGCGCTCTTGAGGCGCTCTTGGAGGAAAATAGACCTTGACATATGTGAGTTGTAGTTACTGGGATCTATAGTTCACCTACAATCAAAAAGCGACTTACCAATCCCCTGTTTGGGCCATCTTATCCGGCACTGAATTATGGAAATAAATAATTCTGCGTCGCTTTCAGGAAAGGGAAAAGCTGCGCATCGCAAATGCTGAACCGGACTCTGCACATAGACAGGGGCGGCTCAACCATTACGCAAAGTAAGCCGTTGCAGTATAGTTGATTTTGCCCAGGGGTGCTCTTGAGGCGCTCTTGGGAGAAAATAGACCTTGACATATGCGAGTTGTAGTTACCGGGATGTATAGTTCACCTACAATCAAAAAGCAACTTACCAATCACCTGGTTGGGCCATCTTATCCGGCACCAAATTATGGAAATAAATAATTCCGCGTCGCTTTCAGGAAAGGGAAAAGCTGCGCATCACAAACGCTGAACCAGACTCTGCACATAGACAGGGGCGGTTCAAGCATTAAGCAAAGTAAGCATTTGCGGTAGAGTTGACTTTGCCCAGGGGCGCTCTGGAGGCGCTCTTGGGGGAAAAAAGACCTTGACATATGCAAGTTGTAGTTACTGGGATGTATAGTTCACTTACAATCAAAGAGCATTCTGAACTCCACCAATGATGGAACTGAACCAAATATGGTACGCAGAACTCCCACGACAAACAGAAAATATATATCAGTGATTGGTTGGGGGGGGGGGGGGGGGGGGGGGGGGACACGGGCTGCCAAAATACTGTTTGCTTACCGTTGAAAATTACTTCTGCACATAGAAGATTATTATTATTATTATTATTATTATTATTATTACTATTATTATTATGCTTTTGAAAGGCAACAGTTCACAAACACTGTCTTCATAGACCGCTCTGCAGCTTCTGATACTGTAAATCGTCATCTCTTCTTTGAGAAAATAAAGGTATAGTATCTCAAAGGACGACCACCTCACCCGCCTCATAGGAAACCTGCTACAAAACAGGATCTTTTTTGTTGAGTTCCAAGGCCAGAGAAGCAGATGGCGGAAACAGAAGAACGGCCTGCCTCAGGGGAGCGTGCTTGCTCCATCCATGTTTAATATTTACACAAATGATCAGCCACTGCCAGAAGGGACAGAGAGTTTCATCTATGCTGATGATCGTGCCATCACCGCTCAAGCAGGGAGCTTTGAGATGGTTGAACAGAAGCTCTCCGAAGCTCTAGGTGCTCTTACTGCCTATTACAGGGAAAACCAACTGATCCCTAATCCATCTAAAACACAGACATGTGCCTTTCACCTTAAGAACAGACAAGCATCCCGAGCTCTGACAGAGTTTGTTGTTGTTGTTCATTCGTTCAGTCGTTTCCGACTCTTCGTGACCTCCTGGTGGAAGAAAAAAGGTCCATAAGCATAAAATCATAACATCCCTTGATCATGAGAAGGGAGTCCATAGGGCTCGGGGAAAGTTCCATAAAGTTGACAAAGTTCCTTGAAAATTTGAGAAAGTTGTCCAAAGTTGTAAAATCTAAAAAAAGGCAAGTGTGGAAAGGTGTCCCAGTGACTACAGAGTCCTCATAATCGTCCACCAATGCTGAAGATGAAACTCAGAGGGAGAACTACAGATCCCTTTACACCAAGGACCAAGGCGGCCCACCGACATCTTAGGGATTCCATGGGTTGACCGCGACAGTTCCCCGGGATCAGCAGGCTTCTCGGATATTCACAAAATGGTGGCAGCGAGGCAGCGTCTTCAGAAAAACATCTGGACTCCAGGAGATGGTTTTGGAGGCAAAAAGGGGTATTCC